TGTCGGAATAAGATTGACGTCGGCAAACTCAAAAGGCTTCCATAGCCTTGGCAACTCATGACTAGAGCCTAGGGAGATTACTGACGCCATAAACAAGAGTGTCAAATTGTTAAGTCAACAACAGGAGTCACTGTGTACTAACTTCTCATGTGGGATCTGTCCTTAATGTGTTGTCCAATGTGAAGTAATGCTATAACTAGTACTGAAACAGTATTTTACACTTTGTGTTTCTGTGTGGGTGCAAACTGATGAAATCTTTACTTAATATATACTAAATTGACCTTCTGTATATAAAGGTAATTGAAAATGAATCTTGATGTGAATGGAATGGGAGAGGGAGCAGAAGATGGGAGGGGTGCGAGTGGGAGGGAAGTTATGGGGAGGAAGCCATTGTAATCCATAAACTGTACTTTGGAAATTTATATTTACTAAATAAAAGTTAAAAAAAATTCTAAACCACAAAAAAAATAGACATTTGAAGAACAGTTGTGTATCTTATTTAAATTATAATTCATTAAATCTATTCTATGATCTAATTGCTGTCCTACATAAGAATCCATATGATAGGCTTCTCATAATTAATGGCAATTTTAATTTTCATCACAAGGTGAACTTATGAACTTATTTTTAGTATCTTTCGCTATTTGATGAAATGACCTGACTAAACATAAACAAGTAAGAAACATCTGTATTTTTTCTCCCAATGCCCCTTAAAACCTATATCTTCAACCTATTTCTCCCAAAATTTAGATGCAGCATCAAGGGTTCCCATGTATTTTCCTTTCCTTTTCAATATGATGAGTGTCATTTCATTAAATACAAAATCTGTCATCTTTAAAATATTGTGTCTTCCAGCCAAAGAGCATGATATGTACTAATTTTAGATCTTGATTAATTTGTCTAAATAATGTTTCATAGCTTTTTATTTTTATTTTTTATGAACTAAAACAGTAGTTTTTTTAAATATGTATTTTTAATTTCCTTTTTTAAAAAAATTTATTTATTTACTTGAAAGTCAGAGTTACAAAGAGAAGGTGAGGCAGAGAGAGAGAAAGAGGGAGGTCTTCTGCCTGTTGGTTCACTCCCAAGATGGCCACAACAACTGGAGCTGTGCCTTATGGAACCAGGAGCTTCTTCCAGTCTCCCACGCGGGTGCAGGGCCCGAGGCCTCTGCCCATCTTCCACTGCTTTCCCAGGCCATAGCAGAGAGCTCACCCTCCAGTGCTGTTGTGGAGGCTCTCAGCAGCTAGAGTCCCGAGCCGTGGGCACCTGTGCCCTCCACATAGGTCCACCATGTCCCTCTAATTACGGAAGAGTTTCCTCTGCTGTTTTTTCCCTGACTCTTCCCTGAGACTACACTTTCTCCACTTTCATTAATCTGTCTTCTCGCGGACTATCAGTAAGCGCCCTCCCTATTCTGCCATCTTGGAACCTCCTTAAGATTTTATTTATTTGAGAGGTAGAGTTACAGACAGTGAGAGGGAGAGACAGAGAGAAGGGTCTTCCATCCACTGGGTTCACTCCCCAAATGGTGTCAACAGCTGGAGTTGCACTGATCCAAAGCCAGGAGCCAGGAGCTTCTTCTGGGTCCCCCACACAGGTGCAAGGGCCCAGGGACTTGTGCCATCTTCCACTGCTTTCCCAGGCCATAGCAGAGAGCTGGATCAGAAGTGCAGCATCGGCCAGTGCCGCAGCTCACTAGGCTAATCCTCCACCTGCGGCGCCGGCACACCGGATTCTGTCCCGGTTATCCCTCTTCTAGGCCAGCTCTCTGCTGTGGCCCAGGAGTGCAGTGGAGGATGGCCCAAGTGTTTGGGCCCTGCACCCCATGGGAGACCAGGAGAAGCACCTGGCTCCTGCCTTCGGATCAGAACAATGCACCGGCTGCTGCGCACTGGCTGTGGCGGCCATTGTGGGGTGAACCAACAGTAAAGGAAGACCTTTCTCTCAGTCTCTCTCTCTCACTGTCCACTCTGCCTGTCAAAATAAATAAATAAGTAAGTGCAGCTTCTGGAACTTGAACTGGAGCTCATATGGGATGCCGGCACTGCAGGCGGCAGCTTTACCCACTGTGCCACAGCACTGGCCCCTCTCCTTTACTATCTTTTTGAAGTTTTATAATTGTAGCTTTTCCTTTCAGGTCTCAGATCCATTTTTAGTTGGTTTCGGCATAAGGCTGTGTCTAGATTCATCATCATGCATGTGGATATCCACTACCAGCATTGTTTGCTGACAAGATAGTCCTTTCTGCATTGACTTGCCTTTGCTCCCTGTCAGAGCTCAGCTGCCTGTGCTTGTGTGGATTTGCTTCTGGGTCCTATATTTTGTTCCATTGATCAGTTTCACTATTTTCTCTGATACCATGCTGTCTTGATTAGTTTAACTTTATATTAAGTCTTAAAGTCAGCTGGTTGTCTCCATCTGCTTTTTAGAGTTTTCTCTTTGCCATTGGTTTTGACAATTTCTACTCTGATAAGCCTGTGTGGTTTTTGAAAACTTATTTCTCTTTGGAAGGATATGATGTGATAGGATACTTCATGACTCAATGCTTGATTTTGTTTACAAAGTTTGGGAAGTTCTGGGCTGTAGTACCTTTATTTTATTTATTTATTTACTTATTTTAAAGATTTATTTATTTGAGCCGGCGCCGTGGCTCAATAGGCTAATCCTCCACCTTGCGGCGCCGGCACACCGGGTTCTAGTCCCGGTTGGGGCGCCGGATTCTGTCCCGGTTGCCCCTCTTCCAGGCCAGCTCTCTGCTATGGCCAGGGAGTGCAGTGGAGGATGGCCCAGGTGCTTGGGCCCTGCACCCCATGGGAGACCAGGAAAAGCACCTGGCTCCTGGCTCCTGCCAGGATCAGCGCGGTGCGCCGGGTGCAGCGGCGGCCATTGGAGGGTGAACCAACGGCAAAAGGAAGACCTTTCTCTCTCTGTCTCTCTCTCTCACTGTCCACTCTGCCTGTCAAAAAAAAAAAAAAAAGATTTATTTATTTGAAAATCAGAGTTACACAGAGAGAAGGAGAGGCAGAGAGAGAAAGAGAGGTCTTCCATCTGCTGATTGGCTCCCCAGTTGGCCGCAACGGCTGGAGCTGGGCCGATCCAAAGCCAGCAGCCAGGAGCTTCCTCCGGGTTTCCCCCACGGGTGCAGGGGCCCAAGGACTTGAGCCATCTTCTACTTTCCCAGACCACAGCAGAGAGCTGGATCAGAACTTGGAGCAGCGGGGACTCGAACTGGTGCCCATATGGGATGCCGGCACTGCAGGTGGCAGCTTTACCCACTGCACCACAGCGCCAGCCCCCATAGTACCTTTAAATATAGCTTCCAGCTCGTTCCTGCTTCTCTTCTTGATATGTAAAGTAAGATGTTAGGTCTCTTTCTCTGAAGGGAGGAGAGAACTTCCACTCTGACTACGACCTTGTCTAAATATGATCAGAGTCAGTGAACTCAAAAGGCTTCCATAGCCTTGGCAACTCATGACAAGAGCCTAGGGTGATTACTGATGCCATAAACAAGAGTGTCAATTTGTTAAGTCAACAACAGGAGTCACTGTGCACTTACTCCCCATGTAGGATTTCTGTCCTTAATGTGCTGTACATTGTGATTTAATGCTATAACTAGTACTCAAACAGTATTTTTCACTTTGTGTTTCTATGTGGGTGCAAACTGTTGAAATCTTTACTTAATATATGCTAAACTGATCTTCTGTATATAAAGAGAATTGAAAATGAATCTTGATATGAATGGAAGGGGAGAGGGAGTGGATAAGGGGAGGGTTGTGGGTGGGAGGGAAGTTATGGGGCGGGGAGCCATTGTAATCCATAAGCTGTACTTTGGAAATTTATATTCATTAAATAAAAGTTAAAAAAAAAAAAAGATGTTAGGTCTCTGCACTGTGTGCTCTAATACCTCTTTGTCCTTTCATACATTTTCATCTGTTTTACAATTTGTACTTTCTTCTGGATATTTTCTTCTGACATGTCTTCTAGTTCATCACTTCTTTGTCTATGTTAACCTACTTTTAAACTCATATTTGTTCTTAATATTGGTTATTATAATATTTATAAAAGTTCAGTCTTTTTTTATAGTTTATACTGCTCTCCTGGAATTTTCAATTGTGTTATGTCCTTGAATCTGTCAAGTATAGTTTAACTTATGATGATGCCAGGCATGTTTTTGAGTGTTCTGCCGTTTAAGAATGGATTTTACATTTCTAAGAATTTTTTTTTTTTTTAAAAAAGAACATACAACAGAGGCATGACCTGACCCATAAAGCAGTTACCCTTGGTTTTTCACATACCAAGTTTGATGATCTGTGATCCAGATTCTGTGTGACTTGGTTCTATTGTCTTAGTGATAAAGTCTTATCTCCTCCTCCAAAGTGTGGTTATTTTTGACAAGGTGCAGATAGAATCTGAAACTAACTTGGTATTAATGTTCTCCAGAAAAGATTAAATTTGTTTTTAGCAAGTAAGTAAAGTCAAAACAACCTTGAAATCACCTTCTTGCAATTAGATTAGGGTATTTCAAAAGTGGGTTTCGGTCTTTCTGTAGGTTGCTTGATTTCTGGTTCACTTTCATCCCCTCACGGGGGTGCCCCAACTGCTGAGTCTGTTGCAAGGCTGCTTGGCTCACTGGTTTCTCCTGTCTCATCCGGCAGGCATCTGCCTCCTCACTGGCACAGAGAACAGTGACTCAGATTGTCATGCTCATCAGTGCGGATTTCTCTCCCTCTCCCTCTCCTTCTCCCGGTTTTATCTTCATAATTCCTTATTTGCCTTGTTAATACCCTGTGTCTTTCATACATGTGTTTTCACTTATTTGTGTTTATATTTTTCTAGCTATTCTAATTCTCAGTGGGAAGGTTGGTATTAATTACTTTGCTCACCGTTATTATGAATACTAGTGTAACTCTTCTCTTAAATTCACTTTGGCTGTGATTGGTCAAGTATTTGTTTTCTACAACTGTTTTCACTTTAGCTTTTTTCTATTTTCATTTCAGATAGCTTCATTATTTCCCATGTATGTTGTGGGGTACATTGAACCAAACAAATTTCAGAAGATCATTTATATGAACATGGTAATGTTGTTAATATCTTTAAGTGAACTATTAAAATAAGTTTCCAGGGTTTATAAAACACAACTGATTTATGGGGTACTTGCTCTTTGGCAGTACTTAATACATATGGCATTGATGATATACAGACAGAAATATGGAAATGTATAGTAGAGACCATATTGAAGCAAATTATGCTTTCAACTGGAGTGTAGATGTATTGTGTGCTCAAAAGCTTTTCATTATTCTATGTTTTATTCTTACATGACTCTTGAAACTGCCATTTTCCTCCAATATTTTATTTTATTAACACTTTGCATGAATATGATGCTGTCACTGAAATTGTATGTTGTTGCATTTTTGTTTTTGTCTTAGTTCCCCCACTCTTATTCCTTAAAAACATAATAAAGTGAAACTTCCTAAGTGATAAAAATCTGCAGTAATACAATAAAAATATAATAGAAACTAATGTTTAAAACTAAGTCTTTCTTACTATATTATTCTATTATTGAAACAATAGAAACGATAATTATTTTTTATTATTTTTTGCTATCCAAATAGTAGATGGAGAAAAACATTGACTTTTGTTTTATGGAATTATTGTCTTAAATTTTAATACTTAGCACCTGGCAGTGACTTGCAATTCTATTATTTTACTGAAATCCATTAGTTTTCTGTAGGCAAATGAAATTTGTACTGGAATTGGCTGTATGCCTCCAAAGTAAACATTATACTATATATATATAATTACTATAAAATATTTATATACATTTTTCACTTTTCAGATCTCAGTTCTCCTTTGTTTCATTCTGATGTTTGGAAATCCCATGTATTTATCTTCTTATTATTCTTCATCTTTGTTAATGACGTGGGTAAGTGTTGAGCTTACGAAGATTTTTTTTAACCTGTCAAATAGTGGGTTTGCCTGGCTACTGCAAGTGTAGGAGAGGAAATTGGACCCTCTCCTGATTGTCATTCATATGAAAGAGGTTTACCCAAATAAAGCCTTTTTCTATCTCATCTTTGAAAAATAATACAGTACAGAATCCTCTTTTCTTAAAAAAAGATTTATTTATTTTATTTGAAAGTCAGAGTTACACTGAGAGAGGAGAGGCAAAGAGAGAGAGAGAGGTGTTCCTTCTGCTGGTTCACCCCGCAATTGGCAGCAACGGCCAGAGTGGTGCTGATCCGAAGCCAGGAGCCAGGAGCTTCCTTTGGGTCTCCCACACAGGTGCAGGGTCCCAAGGACTGGGGCCATCTTCCACTGCTTCCCCAGGCCATAGCAGAGAGCTCAGCTGGAAGTGGAACAGCTGGTACTTGAACTGGCGTCCATTTGAGATGCCAGCACTGCAGGCGGTGGCCTTAACCTGCTACGCCTCAGCCACGGCCCCAAAAATCCTCATTTTTAAGGAAGTGGCCAATTAAATAGTTTTAAATGATCATAAGGTAATAGAACTGGTTTAAAATATATCCCAAAACATATTTGGGAATCCTGTGAATTGCCTTCACAGATTGTGTTTCATTCTTTTGAATATCCTCAAAGCCTTCGTCTTTCTTTTGTTAAGATCTATTTGTTTATTTATTTGAAAGGCAGAATTACAGAGAGAAAGAGAGAGAGAGAGAGAGAGAGAGACAGAGAGAGACGGAGAGAGGGATATCTCTTCCATCTGTGGCTTTACTCCCCAAATGGCTGCAACAGCTTGAACTGGACCAGGTTGAAGCCAAGAGCCTGGAATTCCATCTGGGTCACCCACATGGGTGCCAGGGACCCAAGCACTTGCGCCATTTTCTGCTGCATTCCCAGGTGCAACTGTGGGGAGCTGGATCTGAAGTGGAGCAGCTGAGACTTGAACTGGTGCCTGTATGGGGTGCTGGCATCACAGGTGACAGCTTAACCTGCTGAGCCACAGAACTGGTCCCTAAGTCCTCATTCTTCAAAAGTATGTTAGATTTTTGGAAATAAGCAAACTCCTATGAATAGAGGGGGCAATTGGGCTGGGTGATACAAATACGGATTAAAATATGATGTGGGAATAAACATTTAAACTAACGTTTAAGATACCTACATCCCACATCAGAGCTGCCTGAATTCAGTTTCCAACTCTTAACTCCTGACTGCACCTTCCTGCCAGTGTAGACTTTGGGGGGCAGTGGTAATAACTGAATAGAGTTGGTTTTCTGCCTCATACGTGAGAAATCTGGATTATGTCTGACTCTCTGCTCCAACTTCAACCTTTGTGGGCATTTGAGGAGTGAGCCAGTGCATTCGAGTTTTGTCTATTGTCTACCTCTCAATTTTTAAAGAGTATGATCTCAGCCGGTGCCGCGGCTCACTAGGCTAATTCTCTGCCTGTGGCACTGGCACCCCGGGTTCTAGTCTCGATTGGGGTGTGGATTCTGTCCTGGTTGCTCCTCTTCCAGTCCAGCTCTCTGCTGTGGCCCGGGAGGGCATCTCCCTTTCTCTCTCTCTTTCTCTATGTGTGTGTATGTCTCCTTTCTCTGTAACTGAATTTCCAATAAATAAATCTTAAAAGATTAAATAAAATAGCATGATAATTAATAATAATGATTTTCTTCAGAGATAACTAAATTATCTCTGAAGGCAGCTTAAAAAGTAGAGTTCTAAAGTGTTTTGAGCATGGCAAAATAACTGGAATGAGTATATAGTCTACTCACATGACTTTCATGGGATGACACTCATTTGGATATGTATTAAGAATGGTAGTTTAGTAAGTCAGTTTTATTATTTTGTAATCACACTCCTTGTACCCCCAAGTCAGAACCTGGAATGTTCTCCACTACCCCCTACTTCCACACTGATCAGAAATGATATCAACCCCAGTAATGCCGAAACACAGCACTTTTCCATGTGTGATGCAGATTAGATCTTTCGGTATTGTCTATATTTTAACATTTTTGCTTCCTACATCCTGTTGCATCATAGTAATTAATCCCTCATATTTTTCTCTTCCCCCAAACATATTACTCGTTCCTTTCAACATATTGTCAATTTTTCCTGCGTTACTAAGTTACTAAGTGGAGAGTTCTGAATAGTGTGCTCGTCCACCATTTTATGAAAAATTTTACTTTGAAATATAGCACGGATACAGAAAACTATATAAAAGAAATATTTTAAGTGCTGATTTAGTTTTGACTAGTACTGATAAGTACTGATTAAAAAGTTGTTATTTGGCTAACATCCTTAAACTAGCATGAAGTCAAAATTAGCCTTTCCCAGGCACTCTTAAAGCCCTCCACATGGCCCGTCCTGCTCATAATTCTGTAGCACTGTCTTAAGGCAGTATTAACTGTCTTGAATAGGGTAAGCACTTCCTAGCATTCCTTTATAGTTTCATCACTTAAATTGCTTTTTTATATTTTCCCTACAAAATACATCTGTTGAAGAACTAGATCACTGCACATGAGGAGAATTCCTTGCTGTAGAATCATCCCTTGGATCCTCCAGATGTATCTTAACATGTTCCTTGTCTACTGTGTTTGCAATATATTAGCATTTGGGGATGCCATGACAAACATACTATGGAGTGGGTGCCATAAGCATCAGAGATTTTTTCCTCACAGTTTTGGAGGCGGAAGTCCAAGGTCAAGGTGCCAGCCAATTTGGTTCCTTAGGGCTCCTTCCCAGTTTGTAGAGAAGTCATTTTCACTGTATTTTCTCATGGCAGGAGAGAGAGTCTCTCTCATTACTCTTCTTATAGAGGCAGTACTATTCCGTTCGTGAGGGTTCATCCTCCCAGATTTGGGATTGGAGCCTCAACAGATGTATTTTGGAAGGACACAAGTGCCCAGTTCATATCACTAAAGGTGTAGATTTTGAGGAATCTGAATTAATTTCTGAGTCTCATTTCTAGCTTCTTACCTTACAAAGACCCAAGGCCTCTTCTGCTGCCCTCCTCTTGTAATATGAGCCCATAATTGAAACCTTGTCCTACAAGTCTTTTTAAAGACTGTCATGGGTTTTCTCCTAATTAATATTTTAATGTTTTCTTAAATTACCTTTCTTTGTCTTTCTCATAAGTTTAATGATACATTTTTAAAATATTTGTAGATATTTGGTAATTTAGAAAGGATTTTGACTTCAGTTTAACACACTAATTTTGCAGGAAATATACTTCAGAAAGTTCATGGAAAATAAAATTAAAATTTAAGTCTGTAGGTGCAAAAGAAATTTGAAACAATATATTACTTCTTTCATAACATGCATTTTCCATAAACTTTTTGATTACCCTTGTACACTTGTACAGATGTCTTCCACACTAGCATCTACAGTTTTAAAGGCGTTCACTCTGCAGAAAATATCCACAGTAACTCAGTGAGGAATTACCTTGATTGAAGAGACAACTTTTGGTATAGAAAGCCTTGAACTCTCAACCTGAGGGAAGTTGCCATGTCCAAAATTTAAAGTCAACAATGTAGGTAGAAACTGGCTGATGATAGCAGAGATGAAAGAATGGTGACTGAGTGATTTTTAAATGTACCTTTAATATACTTGTAAGACATAAATGTTAATTTTGTTTCATTTTCTGCCATATGCATTTTAGGCAATAATTCAACATAGATGTAAAATTCAAAGATTGGGAGTGTCTGAACTCAACTATTGGGTAAGATACAACTATTTTTAATATATTTTATCTAAACTCTACTTATTATAAACTGAGTACAGATAATATATTTAAAACTGTAATATTTTAAAATTTAGAATCTCATTTTTTGTTTTTCATCCTTTTAAATTTTTTGAGATAACATTTTTAATTTACATTAGTCAAAGGCTTAATGCTTCACTAAATAAAAGAGTTCAACAAGTAAAAAATAGAGAGACCATAGCTCAGCAGGAATAGAGGCAAGGGCTATAAATAAAAATCAAATGAAAATATGCCAATCTCACTCATATATAATAAATTTCAAAATAATCACAGATAATTAAAACTAAAGTAGTATATTGTTATTAAAAATTTATTTGAAAAAGCTTTTTGTTGCAATATCACACATATGCACCCCGTATAGGCACCAGTTCAAGTCTCAGCGGCTCCACTTCAGATCCAGCTCCCCACAGCTGCACCTGGGAATGCAGCAGAAAATGGCATAAGTGCATGGGTCCATCTTCCAGTGCTTTCCCAGGCTACAGCAGAGAGCTGGATTGGAAGTAGAGCAGCCAGCACTCGAACAGGTGCCTATATGGGATGCTGAGTCTCCAGGCGGAGGCTTTACCCACCAAGCCACAGCGCTGGCCCCCATCTTCACATTCAAATATTGAAATGTGTTTCTTTTGGGGATGCATATTTTCTTCCTTGTTCATGTTTCTTAGATTTCTACATTTATTTTTAGGCGTTTGTGGAAACACTTGTTGGTTTTGCCCTCTGATGGCTTTTATCTTTGAAATATGTGTCTGTGGCTTAGTGGAGTGTTTGCTCTGCTCCTTCAGTGTATATACAGAACTTGATCATAATGTATGATATTTTTGATGTAGTGTTGGATTTGGTTTGCTAGTGTTGGTTGAGAATATTTCCATCAAAAATACAGGTCTGTAGTGTCGCTCCCCCTCTTCGTGGAGGAACGACACAGGACCCTGCGCTGTTCTTTCGTCTGCTCGGCCCTCCCCGGGTTTGCTGCTGGTTCTTCCCGGGTTGGCTACTATCCCTTCCACCTCCGTGGAAGGGCAGTTCCCCCTGGCCACATTCCCCACTTCCGCAGGGGAGCGGCACACCGCCGGCCGGCTTTCTCGGGGGCTGCACAGGTGTTCCTTCAGCTAGATGTTCCCCTTAGATGTTCCCGGTGCATGCCATCTCTCTCCTCCTTTATAGTCCTCCTCCGCCAATCCTAACTTGGCTGCCCACACGCCGAGTACGCTGCTCTCCAATCAGGAGCAAGTCCTACAGTTTATTGGTTGAACTGGAGGCAGCTGTGCGGAAGCTGTTTACTTCTCTCCCAGCGCCATATTGTGGGAGAGCAGATGCGTAGAATAAGTCTTAATTCCAGTAACTCAGTCCAGTCCGGGCTGCTCCCCACAGATCCCCCTTTCTTTTTATTTTTTGGCGTTGATACGCGCCTGTCTTCGGTGTCCCGCGGCACACACTCTGCTCTACTTGCTAGAGTTGCCACAGGTTCTTACAAGTCCTATCAATCAGGCAAACCGAATCCGGGTCCTCTCTTCGCCATGTTGTGAGGAGGTTTTTAGGCACTGATGCATGCCTGTGTTCGGTGACCTGCGGCTCATACTTTGGTCGAGCCGCCTGCTGGCGCTTACCGCCTTAATCAGGCAGACCGAATCCAAGCCTCCTAATTGCTGTATTGTGGGGAGGCCTTACTGATGTTAATTCGTGCCTGTCTTCGGTGACCTGCGGCGCATAAGCTGCTAGCCGCCGCAGGTGCTCATCGCCTCACTAATCGGGCAGACCGAATCCAAGCCTTCTAATTGCAGTATTGTAGGGAGGCCTTTCTATTTCTCTATTTCTCTATCTCCGGGCATTCCTATTTCTCCCATTTTACTTCTGTCTGCCAACATTCCCATTTCTCTCATTTTACTTCTAAACTTCTGTTTCTCTTATCCCTGCGGCTTTCCGGCGCCCGCCCCAAGGCTGCTTTCCGGCTCTGAGCCGCTTCAGCCCGCACCTCTCTCATCTGCGCGGCTCGGCTTTGCGCGCACACTCCGCGGTTACTCACTAGCCCTTTCACGTCTGAACCACGGCCTCGCGCCAGCCCCGCGTTCCCTATCTATTCACGCCCTGTGCTCTCTCTGCACGCAGCGGCTTCCGCGAGTCACACAGCGTAGCTTGCGTCTCCACCACTAGCATTCAATCCAAGTTCCCCGGGCTAGCCTGGCGAATTCAACCCAGCTTACGTCTCCGCCCCACGGTTTGGCTTCCCGTCCTTTGCTCCCCGGGCTAATCAGATGGATCCCAATCTGGCTTACGTTTCAGCTTCTGGTTTCAACTTTTCGCCCCCTATTCCCGGGCTAACTTGAGAATCCCAAAGTGGCTTTCGTCTCCGCCTTGGCCTGCCCCCCGCGGCTTCAATTTCCCTAACATTTTTCTCTACCCGGTATGTTTCCCCAAGCTTTCCTCCAACAATACTCCTCCCTCATTTCTCCTGGCTTCTCCCCACAGTCCGCATCCGAGCCTGTTTGTTCTAGCTTTCACTTTCGCTTTCGACCTTAGCGATTTCTCCCAGCTTCCCCCCGTAGTCCGTATCTGAGTCTATGCCTAGGCTTTCAATAGCTTCTTCCGGCACCTTTTTCGTCCGGCTTTTCCCTAGGCTGTTTGCTAGTCTCTCTCTCTGGTATTTTCCTGCTTCTTCCCGTTTCTTCCCTCCTAAGTTTCCTATCCGTCCTAGGTTTCCTATCCGAGTCACGGCACCATTATGTCGCTCCCCCTCTTCGTGGAGGAACGACACTAAACCCTGCCTAGGCTTCATATCCGAGTCACGGCACCATTATGTCGCTCCCCCTCTTCGTGGAGGAACGACACAGGACCCTGCGCTGTTCTTTCGTCTGCTCGGCCCTCCCCGGGTTTGCTGCTGGTTCTTCCCGGGTTGGCTACTATCCCTTCCACCTCCGTGGAAGGGCAGTTCCCCCTGGCCACATTCCCCACTTCCGCAGGGGAGCGGCACACCGCCGGCCGGCTTTCTCGGGGGCTGCACAGGTGTTCCTTCAGCTAGATGTTCCCCTTAGATGTTCCCGGTGCATGCCATCTCTCTCCTCCTTTATAGTCCTCCTCCGCCAATCCTAACTTGGCTGCCCACACGCCGAGTACGCTGCTCTCCAATCAGGAGCAAGTCCTACAGTTTATTGGTTGAACTGGAGACAGCTGTGCGGAAGCTGTTTACTTCTCTCCCAGCGCCATATTGTGGGAGAGCAGATGCGTAGAATAAGTCTTAATTCCAGTAACTCAGTCCAGTCCGGGCTGCTCCCCACATGTAGTTTCTTTTTTGTGTTGTACCTTTGTTCAGTCTTGGTGTTAGAGGGATGCTGGCCTTATAAAAAGAATTTGGCAGAGCTGCATCTTGTTCAGTATTTTGGAACAGTTTGAAAAATATTGCAGTTAGTTGCTCTTTAAATGTTTTAGGGAGGGGCTGGCATTGTAGCATGGTAGGTTATACCTCCAACTGCTATGCCAGAATTTCTTATGGGTGCTGGTTCATGTTCTGGCTGCTCTGTTTCCAATTCAGCTCACTGATAATGCACCTGGGAAGGCAGTGTTGGATGATCCAAATGCTTGGGCGCCTGCACTCATGTGGGAGACCCAGATGAAGTTCCTGGCTTTGGCTGGGCCCAGCCCCAGCTTTTGGGGCCACTTGGGGAGTGAACCAGAGGTGGAAGATTCTCCCCCCTCCCCGCGTGTATAACACTACTTTTGAATAAATAAATAAAATTTTAAAAAGTTTTATAGAATTTTATCTTAAAGCTATCAGGTCCTGCACTTTCCTTGATGGGAGACTTTAAATTATTGTCTCAGTCTTGCTGCTGGTCTGCTTATATTTTCTATATCTGCTTTCTTTAATCTTGGTAAGTTTTATGTATTCAGGAATATATCAATTTTTTCAAGGTTTTCCAATTTGTTAGCATATAGTTGTTCATACTAGTTTCCTATAATCCTTTGGGTTTCAGTGTTATTGGCTGTACTGTCTCCTTTTCAGATATAATTTTATTTATTTGAATTTTTTTCTATTTTTTCTGTTAGTCTGGCTAAAGGTTTGTATATTTTGTTTATCTTCTCAAAAAACAGATTTTTATTTTGTTGGCTTTTGTATTTTTTTTTTCAATTTCTTTCTTCTCTGATCCTTATTATTTCTCACCTGCTAGTTTTGAGTTTGGTTTGTTCTTGTTTTTCTAAATCCTCAAAATGAATCATTAGATCATTTGAGAGCTTTCTGTTTTTAAATGTAAGTACTTAATACTATAAACTTCCCATTAGTATTGATTTTGCTCTATTTCACAGATTTTGAAATGATATATTTTCATTTATTTCAAGAAAGTTTCGATTTTCTTTTTAAATTCTTCAGCAACCCATTGGTCATTCAATAGCATGGTATTTAATTTCTGTGTATTTGTGATTGTTCTTTTTTTCTTCTTGTTATTGATTTTTAGTTTTGTTCCCTTTTGGTGAAAATACTTGATATGATTTCAATATTTTTAAAGTTACTGACACTTGATTTGTGGACTAATATATAGTCTACACTAGAGAATGTTCCATGTGCTCATGAGAAGAATGTGTATTCTGTAGTAGTTTAGTGAAATATTCTGTAAATGTCTGTTAAGTCCGTTTGCTCATCATTATGGTTCAATTCTGGTACATTTTTGTTGATGCTCTGCCCATTTGTGACAGTGAGATTTTGAGGGTCCCTACTGTTACCATATTGGAGTCTCTCTCTCCCTTAGGCCTCATAGTATTTGCTGTAAATATCTAGGTGGCCTTGTGTTGGGTACATATACATATATGTTTATGATTATTCTATCTCTTGCTAAATCAATCTTTTTTCAGTATATAATGTCCTTTGTCTCTTTTCACAGTTTTTTTAATTTAAAATCTGATTTATCTGATTTATCCGATTTATCTGAGTATAGCTACTCCTACTTGTTTCCATTTGCCTAATAAATATTTTATTTTTCCAGCCCTTCACTTTTAGTCTGTGTGTATCTATGTTTTTTACCCATTCAGTCAATCTAACTCTCTTGGCTGGGGGATTTAATACATTTACATTAAGGGTTAGTATTGATAGATATAAACTAATACTTGTCACTTTGTTGGTTGATTACTGATTGTATCTGCTCTGTTGTGAATTTGGTAGTGTCATGTATTTTTATGATGATTACTTCTAATGTAGGACTCCCTTCAGAATTTCCTGTTATGCTGATTTAGGGGTGGTAAATTCTCTCAGTTTTTTCATATCTGAAATACCTTATTTCTCCTTCATTTAAAAAGAATAGCTTCACTGGATATAATATTCTTGGTTGGAAGTTTCTTTAAGACCTTGAATACATCATCCCACTCTTTCTGGCCTGTAGGGTTTCCACTGAGAAGTCTACTGTTAGTCTAATTGGATTTCCTTTCTATGTAACTTGATGTTTTTCTCTTATTGTCTTTAGGATTCCATACTTGTCCTTAACTTTTGACAATTTGATTATAATATGCCTTTGAAATATCCTTTTTCAATTGAGTCAGTTAGGGGTCTTTTAAGCTTCCTGTACCTGAATGTCTATGTCTCTTTCAAGACTTGGGAAATTTTCAGCTGTTATTTCATTTTGTAGTTTCTCAATGCCTATTACCTTTTCTTCTCCTTCAGGAATCCTTATAATACAAATATTTGGTTGCTTAATGGTGTCGCGTATTTTACATATGCTTTATTCATTCTTTTAAATTCTTTTCTCTTTATTTTTGTCTGATTTTTTTTTTCCAGAAGTTTTCTCTTCAAGATCAGAAATTGTTTCCTCTGCTTGTTGAAGCTGTCAATCACTTTTTTTTTTTTTTTTTCTTCATTGATCTACCAGTATTAGAGGGTAGAAGTGAGGGGAGAGACTCACAAGGTAAACCTGGGGAAATGCTGTCCATCCTGTGAGTCTGTCATCTGTTGTCTCCCACTTGCCTATGTTATAAGCAGGGATCAAACATGAAACAGGAGCCCTCTGAGTAAGCAGGCCAGCAAAGAGCTTGGTGCCCCAGCTTCTTCTAAGTCTATGTCTTCTATCCTTTGCCTAGTGGCAACAGGACTCAAAAAATGCAATCTTCCACCATGGACATTGTGAATAGGGTCTAAGATGGAGCACCAAGAAATACCAGGTGAATTAAAATAGCAATAGCTAGAATAGTATTTCAAGAGCTCTGGAAACTGTAATTTTAACATTTTAAAGTTGGACAGGACTTGAATGCTAAACCTAAACAAGTTGACCGTCTGCATTCACTAACATAATACCTGTACTGTACTAGATACAATAGAAAACCACTCATCCTAGCAAGAATAAAGGAAATAACATTTCAATGAGAAAAAATGATCAACAGATGTCAATACTGAGATGAGTAGAATTGAGATTACTTGACAAGGATTTTAAAGTAGTCAACATAAAAATACTTCAGTGAGAAGCTTCAAATACTCTAGAAACAAATGAAAATATCAGAAAATTTCATCAAAGAAACAGAAACTTAAAGACGTACAGGGACTAGCATTGTGGCACAGCAGGTTATGCTGCTGCTTGCAATGCCAGCACCCCATATCAGAGTGCCACTTTGGGTCCCAACTGCTCTGCTTCTGATCTAGCTTCCTGCTAATGTGCCTTTGAAGGCAATGGATGATGGCACAAGGAATTAGGCCACTGCCACCCATGTAGGAGAACTGGATGGAGTACCTGGCTCCTAGCTTTAGCCTGGCCCAGACCTGGCTATTATGGCCATTTGGGGAGTGAACCAGAGGGTGGATGATCTTTTTTTCTCTGTTTCTCCTTCTCTCTCTGCCTTTCAAATAAATGAATCTTAAAAATAAAAATAGACAATGTGGGAATTATAGAACTAAAAATAAAATACCTGAAATAAAAAGCCTGCTGAGTTGGTTTTTTGGCCAAATGAGTGTGACAGAGGAAACAACAATGTACTTGAAGGTGTGATGGCAGCAGTGATCATCATTAAATTAGTTTGATTCGCATTTGTTCTCTGGATTCCTTGTTTCCTGTTTCTTTTATCATGTATTTTCCAAAAGCCTTTTTTTTAAACAACAACAAAAAAAGATTTATTTATTTGAAAGGCAGAGTTACAGCGTGGCAGAGGCAGAGAGAGAGCGAGAGTGAGCACCATCTTCTGTCCTCTAGTTCACTCCCCAAATAGCTGCAGTGGCCAGAGCTGGGCTCATATGAAGTCAGGAGCCAGGAGCTTCTTCTGGGTCTCCCATGTGGGTGCAGGGACCCAATGACATGAGCCATTTTCTACTGCTTTCCCAGGCTGTAGCAGAAAGCTGAATCAGGGTCAGCGCTGCAGCTCACTAAGCTAATCCTCCTCCTGCAGTGCCGGCACACTGGGTTCTAGTCCCAGTCGGGGCGCTGGTTCTGTCCTGGTTTCTCCTCTTCCAGTCCAGCTCTCTGGTGTGGCCCGGGAGGGCTGTGGAGGATGGCCCAAGTACCAGGGGGAAGCACCTGGCTCCTAGTAACAGCCTTTTGGGGGTGTGGGGGAGGGGTGTACCAACGGAAGGAACACCTTTCTGTCTCTCTCTCTCACTAAAAAAAACAGCTGGATCATAAGTGGTGCATGAGCTGGCTCAATAGGCTAATCCTCTGCCTGAGGCGCCGGCACCCTGGGTTCTAGTCCCGGTTGGGGTGCCAGATTCTGTCCCGGTTGCCCCTCTTCCAGGCCAGCTCTCTGCTGTGGCCAGGGAGTGCAGTGGAGGATGGCCCAAGTCCTTGGGTCCTGCACCCCATGGGAGACCAGGAGAAGCACCTGGCTCCTGCCTTAGGATCAGTGCAGTGCGCCGGCTGTGGCGGCCATTGGAGGGTGAACCAATGGCAAAGGAAGACCTTTCTCTCTGTCTCTCTCTCACTGTGTCCACTCTGCCTGTCAAAAAAAAAAAAAAAAAAAAAAAAAAAAAAAAGTGGAGCAGCCAGGACTCAAACTGGCGCCCATATGGGATGCCAGCACTGCAGGCAGCAGCTTTACCTGCTACGGCACAGCACCGCCCCCCCCTCTTTTTTTTTTCAACCCAGCTTTCATTCCAGAAGTAAAGCCTTTCTGAGATCGATACCTTTTATCCTGAACACTTTTAATGCCTGGCTCTGTGGGCCATTCTGCAATCTACAGGATGAACGTCTAAGGTGAATATTTCTCCTGCTAGGGTGACTTTCGTTGACTGTCAGTCCTACACTCCCTTCCTCTCTATTCTGTATAGCTGTGCGCCTCTCCTCTCAGTCTGTGCAAAAGCTAATGTCAGGAACAAATGCTTCTGCTGTATTTGTTGTTTCCTTTTCTATTTTCAGGTAATTTGAAGTTAGTATCATTGTATGTTTCCTACATATGTGGTTATGTGGTTGAATTGTTCTACTTGCTGGATGATGATGAGAAAAGATGTGGATTTAGACTGCTCTGATTTTCCTCAGGCTGCCAAGAAGTCCATATCCTCTCCCCTCCGTTTTAAAAATCAAGGCTATGCAAACAAATAAAAACAAAACCCAAAATGAACAGAAGCCTCCTTATGAATTTTAGTTCATATCCCTGTTTTTAAAAAGAAAACTAAGTTTTCAACTTTCAAATTTTTCCTGATTGATTAGAAGAATAGAACTTTTATTTATTTATTTATTTGAAAGGCAGAGTTAGAGAGGCAGAGAGAGAGAGAGGTGTCTTCAATCTGCTGGTTCACTTCCCAAATGGTCACAACTGCTGGAGCTGTGCCTATCTGAAGCCAGGAGCCAGGAGTTTCCTCTGGGTCTCCCATGCGGGTGCAGGGCCCAAGGACTTGGGCCATCTTCTACTGCTTTCCCAGGCCTTAGCACAGAGCTGAATTGGAAGTGGAGTAGCTCGAACTCAAACTGGAGCCCATATGGGTTGCCGGTACTGCAGGCAATGGCTTGACCTACTATGACACAGTGCTGGCCCCAATAGTAGAACTTTTAAAGCAGTGTTTTGCAAAAATAATTTTCAGTTGAGGCTATAAAGTTTGAAAATATACATATAACCCATCTCTTTCATAACAAAAATAGAAAAGAAATTAATTTTTGTAATTTCCTTTATATTTAGGATATGTATAATTCTAATGTTTTTATGTGTTATATAGCAGTGCCATCAATTTCAGTTTTTTGCCATTAAACAAAATTTTCTAAAGGAACAACCCTTTTTTATTTCTCACCGTGTACATGTACCTCACTAATATACTTCATGTTATTAAATTTTTCCTACATTGTTTAGAGTGACAGTTGGATATTTTAACTGGGTAATTTGTAATTTTTATTACTGGATTTCTGTTTTATTTTCTAGCTTATTCAAGGTTGTGCTTGGTGGTGTGGAACAATCATTTTAAAATTTCTGACATCTAAAATTTTAGGTGTTTCGGACCACGTAAGTTCTTTCTATAACATAAAATTTCTTTAACATAAAATTTCATATAAGGGGCTAGTGCTGTGATACAGCAGGTGCCTGAGGTACCAGCATCCCATGTGGGCGCTGGTTAAGTCCTGGCTGCTTCACTTCCAGTCCAGCTCCCTGCTTATGTGCCTGGGAAAATGGCAGGGGATGGTCCAGATACTTGGGTCCCTGCACCCATGTGGGAGACCCAGATGTAGCTTCTGGCTCCTGGCTTCAGATTGGCCCTGTTCTGGCCATTGTTGCCATTTGGGGTGTCAACCAGCAGATGGAAGATTCTCTCTCTTTCTCTCTCTCTCTCTCTCTCTCTCTCACTGTAGCTCTGCCTTTCAAATAAATAAATGTTTAAGAAGTTATATAAATATGTAGCTGGATGAAAACTTCGAAGACATCTGTTTTTATCTCTTCATTTCACAGAGGTTAAGTATTTTCTTTAAGTTCCCCAGGCTAGTTATTAGCAGGGTCATTATTCAGTCCTGCCACTCAGTGATCTTTGCAATATGCTAAGAAAAAAGTATGGCACTGAATGCTGACTTAGTCTTCTAGGAAAACTGCTAATAATTTGTTCATATAGTTAATTCATTTATATTTCAGTTAAAATATAAATAATTTGTTTAATAAGCTTTTATTTATCATAGATTTTATAATGTGTGTAGTCTGTACTCTGAAATACAGAACTCAGTGCATTTTGCTTACAACTGTGGACTAAAATTAGGATATGACTTCATGTTTTAAGGATTTTCTTGTTATCTGAAAAGAAAATATTAGAAGTTCTCTGTTTTTTCATCTAGAAAAAATATAGAGAGCACTTATTCATATAATCTTTCTTTTTGTTTTAAGGGTATCACCTTAAATAATGGCCCTTTTCAAGACATAAGCCCTTTCTTAACTATTAATTTAGAGAGAAGAAAGTAATACATGGATTTATTTTTGATTTCTAGCACTTCATTTAGAAATAAACATACATGAGTGTATGATACAATAATCTATGAAATGTACCTTATCTAGTGCTATCCAATCAGAGCCCTGTACGAAAACTGTTAAATATAGCAAGGGACTATAGTTCTCTCTCTCTGAAAGAGGTGCTGTCATCATCCCATAAAACATGCATCCATGTTCATGTTAGATAACATTTCTAAATGTGAGGATTTATTTTCCATCAACTGCTAGCTTTGCATAGTAATTTATTAGGTTGGTTTGTTGCTGCTGTTCTCTAGTATGTGTGACACATTTCTGTTTTTCCTTTTATATAGTTTTTAATCCTTATTTTGTGGGAGCATGTATTTTTCTGATAAATTCTATTCTGACCTTGTAAATTATTTAAGTTAGTCTGTGATTTTTGTTTCTTGTTTTACATTATCACCTAATTCTTTATAAATGTGGGAAGTAACACACACACCCCTTTGGTAGTCATAAGTGACTTTTATTTGACAGTTGTGCACAAAACTTGACATTATTGAGTTAAATTATTCTTAGTTACTAGACTTACTCTAAATTAGAACATAAAATGTTAGGTAGCAACAGTGAATAAATGAAAACTTATGGTAATCATCAAACTTATCATTAAATATTTCAATCCTAATAAAGTAATTTGAATTATGATTTTACAAGCCAAATATTTTCCTTTCCCTGGTCTTCTGAGAATGCAGTGGAAAAATAATTATCTACAGTAGGTAGTAAGCAGTCAGTATAAAATAGGAGTTCTACATTGGATGTGATTGGTGTTGCTTATTTTTCTAAATAAGTGTTTAGAAATATTGAGATCAAATAATCAGAGATCAAGTAATAATCATGATAGTGTTATAATTCTTATGAGGAATAGCTGTCATAAATGACATGGATATATGTGGGTACTTTAGAAAGTTTGTGGGAAATTACAGTTAAAAGACTGATGATATTAGTGCCAAAAGTGAAAATCCATGCATATTTTTTCATAATATGCATTTTCCATGAATATTTTAAATATTTTTTGTATGTACAGGTTTCAGGCTTTTTGCACCAAAATAAACTTATCTTACAATTTTAGTCTCCATGAAATTCTTGAAGTACTCTCATACCAAATATTGTAACAATGTATGAGGCTTCATGAAAATGATAATAGATAAAATGTTTATGGTTTATAATATATGGTAAAACTACGAAAAGAAACTTTTTTTCAAAATAAATTATCTGATTATAAAATTTCTTGATTAACTTCCTGGTGGTTTCTTCTCAGCAAGTATTTTTATCTCTATCTTTTTTTTTTTTTTTTTTTTTTTGCTTATTTTTTTTCTGGCTTCTTCTTACTTGTCATTTCTCTTTATTTTCGGTTATCTTGATGAGAAGGTACACAGAACATCTAGTTTTTAGAGGCATCTATGTAGCGTGGGTATATCAGCTTTATAGATTAAACATATTAGTCTTATCAAATCAGTTCTACTGACTATAATAATTTATGGAATTTTAACTCACTTTATTTTCTTTCAGATTCGCCTAAGCGACCTCATAGCAGCCAGAATCTTAAGGTATACGGATTTCGATACTTTAATATACACCTGTGCGCATGAATTTGACTTCATGGAACAAGCGGTATGAATGTTTCTATATTTTTTTCCTTCCTACAGGTATATTGACTTTTGCTCCTGTATTTTCTTTTTAATCTGAAATTCAAATTTTTTAGTCAAATATATAACTTACAGTATCATTTTATATTATTATTTTTCTAATCATATGTCCTTCCTAACCTATTACTCTTTTCTGTAAATCAATAATAGTGTCTTTCTTAAAGAGATAAATTCAGGAAGTGTGCTTAACATTATGTATGACCCATATTCATTATTATTACAAATAACTTTTAACAATCTAGGCCACTTGGAGAAATAGGACCATTCAGGAAAATAAAATCCAAATTCTTGTTAAGAAATTCAGTTTTAAGGGCTGGCATTGTGGCATAGCGGGTAAAGCCACGGCCTGCATCCCATATGGGCCCTGGTTCAAGTTCTGCCTGTTCCACTTCTGATCCAGCTCCCTGCTAATGACCTTGGGAAAGCAGTGGAAGATGGACCAAGTATTTGGGCCTCTGTACCCAGATAGGAGACCTGGAATAATCTCTTGGCTACTGGCTTCAGCCTGGCCCAGCCATGGCCATTGCAGCCATTTGAGAAGTGAACCAGCAGATGGAAGATCTCTCTCTCTCCCCAGTCTCTGTAACTCTGCCTTTCAAATAAATAAATTAATCTTAAAAAAGAAATTCACAGCCGGCGCCGCGGCTCACTAGGCTAATCCTCCGCCTAGCGGCGCCGGCACACCGGGTTCTAGTCCCGGTCGGGGCGCCGGATTCTGTCCCGGTTGCCCCTCTTCCAGGCCAGCCCTCTGCTGTGGCCAGGGAGTGCAGTGGAGGATGGCCCAGGTGCTTGGGCCCTGCACCCCATGGGAGACCAGGAAAAGCACCTGGCTCCTGGCTCCTGCCATCGGATCAGCGCGGTGTGCCGGCCGCACCGCGGCGGCCATTGGAGGGTGAACCAACGGCAAAGGAAGACCTTTCTCTCTGTCTCTCTCTCTCACTGTCCACTCTGCCTGTCAAAAAAAAAAAAAAAAAGAAATTCAGTTTTATTACATTTAATACCCCAAATATTAAAATACATGTTTAACAAAGTGTTGCCAATAAAGGTGGTATACTACTGTTAATGACTGTGAAATTATTGTGTTACATAAATGCATGGTTATTATCTTCTTAAAAATACTTACTTATTTGAAGGACAGCATTATAGAGAGATCAGTTAATCAATTGATGTGTCTTCCATCAATCCATTGGTTCATTCCCCGAAGGGGTCTCCCACATGGATGGCAGGGACCCACGCACTTGGGCCATCATCTACTGCTTTCCCAGGTACATAGCGGGGAACTGGAAGGGAAATGGAGCAGCCAGGACTGGAACCAGTGCTCATATGGGCTGCTGGTGTTGCAGGAGGTAGCTTAACTCACTGTGCCACAGCGCCAACCGTGCATGGTATTACCTTTTATAAAAAGTTCATGTTGCTAAGATTTGAAACATTTGCCTCTTGGTGGTATCATGGACCACAGGAGCAGTATAAGATCTTAGAGACTGCATAGTACACGTCTTTCACTTGCTGGAAAGACTTGCTTTAAGTACCATGTGAGCCATGTAGGACATGGGTTCTGATGGACTCAGAGCTCCTGGCTCAGTGTTCTTTCTTCTGTTTGTGGTCTACTTTCTTCTTCACAGAACATGGAAGAGTTGTCACTGGATGAGTCTGTGTAATTACAAATTCTAAATTAGTGGCAAATCTAATATTGAATTTTTACATTATTCTCTTATCCATCCAGGCAGCTATTCATTAATTTAAAATAAGCCAGTTCCTGCTTTCAAGAAATAGTTCAGTTACATGGTAATCACTCCTTATCACAATAACGGGTTCTGAGAATGGTACTTTGAGTAGTGACTTTGGCTAACTGTCTCCTTTTTCAGCTCTGGTTTCAGTAGTGAAATAATGGAACAGCAGCACAGGAAATGAAAGTGTAGTTCTCAGGGACCAGTAAATACACATTTTTAAACCTAGCATTATATAAACAAAGAAAAAATAAAACTGAAAAAAGGAACAGTTATAGATACGCCTAGTTCTGAGTTTAATAATTTTTAAAAGTTTTTTGAATGCTGCATGTCAGTTTTGTAATTTTGTTTCTTACATTAAAATTCAGAAGTTAGTAAATAATATACTGTGCTAATGATAAAGGCATTTTACCTCTAAAAAATTTCATGATGGCACTCAGTTTGACACAAATTTTTACTACATTAAGGCAAATTTCAATAAATAACTCGAAAAATTTTCTGTATTTTCAGACTCCACTGAGATACACAAAGACATTATTGCTTCCAGTTGTCATGATGGTTACTTGTTTTATCTTTAAGAAGGTATTTAAAAATTTTTATTGTTGGCTTTTGGGTTCTTGATAAGGATTGCAGTATGTTCCTGATTTATTTGGGAGACTGAGATAAAATTTCTCTGGAGGAAGCTGCCATCTTTTCTGTAGGAAAGAATCCTGCCCCCATCTGATCCCCTGCCCAGTAAAATAATAAACTTACAACACTAGTAAGTAGTTATCTACATGTTAAAGCTTAGGATTTTAGAACCTAAGTAGACCTTAAATATCTACCTACTTAAACAACATTTTTTTTTAAAGATTTATTTTATTTATTTGAAAGACAGAGTTACAGAGAGAGGTAGAGACAGAGAGAGAGGTCTTCCATCCACTGGTTCACTCCCCAGATGGCCACAACGGCAGGAGCTGCACCAATCCAATCCCAGGAGCTTCTTCCCGGTCTCCCAAGTGGGAGCAGGGGCCCAAGGACTTGGGCCATCTTCTGCTTTCCCAGGCCATAGCAGAGAGCTGGATCAGAAGTGGAGCAGCTGGGACTAGAACCAGCGCCCATATGGGATGCCGACACTTCAGACCAGGGCGTTAACCCGCTGCACCACAGCACCAGCCCCTCATCTTTTTTTTTTTTTTTTTGACAGGCAGAGTTAGACTGTGAGAGAGAGAGAGACAGAGAGAAAGGTCTTCCTTTTTCCGTTGGTTCACCCCACAAATGGCCGCCACAGCCAGCAAGTTGCGGCTGGTGCCCTGCGCTGATCAGGAGCCAGGTTGCTTCCTCCTGGTCTCCCATGCGGGTGCAGGGCCCAAGGACCTGGGCCATCCTCCACTGCCTTCCCGGGCCACAGCAGAGAGCTGGACTGGAAGAGGAGAAACTGGGACAGAATCCGGCACCCCAACAGGGACTAGAACCCTGGGGTGCTGGCACCACAGGGGGAAGAATAGCCTAGTGAGCCACAGCGCTGGCCCCATTGTTTGTTTTTTAATAGAAGTTTTAACTTGAAGTTCTTTGCCTAGGGTAGAGCTGGGACTAAACTGTTCCTGAAGATTCCATTTATCATTAAAAAAAGAAACTTATTTCTAGTGCGGGTATTTATATGAATTATTCAGAGCATGTTAAATGTAACATTCCATAAAGAACTTTATTGATTTCGTTCTGTTCACAGACTACTCGTGATATCTCATGTGTCTTATCTACAAACACTTATCTAAGGTAATTATAGTTGTTTTTAAGACAAATTTTATTCAGTTAACTTACTATCATGCTAATTTTTTCAAATGCATATACATTAAGCTTTAGGTTAATTAAGAAAGGAGATATGAGCCAAAGTTAGATGTTTCTTCAAAAAGATTACTATTCTGTGAACTAACTTGAAGTTTTATTTGATTTAGCTTAATATATCACTAGAACTAGCAACAGTAAGAGCAGTAAGCTCAAAATTTATTTTGGTCATACTTTATTTTTTAAGCTTTCATAGAAGATCACTTTTTTTCTGAATAATTATGAAAGAATTTTTTATGTTTATTGTTAAAATTGTTTGTTGTATCATGTTTTTTGGCAGTTCTAGTAAACTCAGTAGAGTTACAGCAGCAAAACATTGCACGACTCATGTAAATCGGACATAAAGTGTTCTGGCACACTGGAAGTAAATTGCGAAGAAAGCTTTCTGATGGAAAGCATATCTAGTAGCAAACTATAGAAATGATCCCTGAGTTGTATCTATGTAAAAACGCATTCATTAAATAGAGAAAAAGAAAACGAAAAGAAAGCATATCTAAGGTTAACTTTTGTGGTTTTAATTGTGCCATTTGATTCTAGTCAATTACCTTTATTGTTAAGAATAGTTTCAGATTTACAGAAAGATTATGAAGCTAGTATAGTTTCCTGAACTGCATATCCCATGCTGAATTTCCTTTTTTTTTATTTTTTATTTTTTATTTATTTATTTTTTGCCAGGCAGAGTTAGAAAGAGAGAGAGTTATACACAGTGAGAAAGAGATAGAGAGAAAGGTCTTCCTTCCATTGGTTCACACCCCAAATGGCCGCTATGGCTGGTGCTGAGCTGATCTGAAGCCAGGAGCCAGGTGCTTCCTCCTGGTCTCCCATGCAGGTGCAGGGCCCAAGTACTTGGGCCATCCTCCACTGCCCTCCTGGGCCAAAGCAGAGAGCTGGCCTGGAAGAGGGGCAACTGGGACAGAATCTGGCACCCCGACCGGGACTAGAATCCAGGGTGCTGGTGCCGCAGGCAGAAGATTAGCCTAATAAGCCGCGGTGCTGGCCCCGTGCTTGAATTTCTAACCAGTTTTGTATGGTTGTCAGAGGAGCTAATGAAGACGGTAGGTGTGTTTGTTGAAATCATTTCCAAAATAAGTGAGAGTACAGACCAGCTGTGATTTGTTCTGGTCAGGAGGAGCCCAGGTAATATGTCTTGTTATTCTAAAAGGAGTGTATGAGAACCCTGAAAACTGTTCACATAAAGAGTACACAAAGGGACTAGGATTACTTAACTAGATACTAGGAGACTGAGGGGTACATGGCGACTGTCTTCAGATATTTGAGAGGGTGTTAAGTGGAAGAAGACAGATGTGAGGGGCCAACAGGTAGAAGATAATTAGCTCAGACGAAGGAAATCTTTCTTACTAATTACATTCCTGAAAGTGACAGGCCAAGGTGGGGGCACGGGAATTGTTTAAATCACAGGAATAATACATGCTTATCGTATTACATTCAGGAAAAGCAGCATATCAAGAAAAGGGGCATCGTTGCCCTCCCTTTAATCTGTTCCTCAGAGGTGCTGACTGCAAGCAGATTTGGATACGTCATTCTAGGAAACATATAGAAACAGTTATTAAAAACGGAGTCTAGAACTCATTATTATGCAGCCTGTTCTTTTGTGTAACAGTGTGTCTTGGGCACATGTCTAGATCTCCCTTATTCTTTTTGATGGTCAAGCATCTTATTGTTTGCCTTCGTGGGTGAGTACCAGGGATTTAGCCATAACTATGTAAGTAGATGTTTGGAATACATTTAACTTTGTGATAACAACTGATGTTATAGTAGTGAACATCTTTACAACTTTTCACCCTTTATCCAGAATTTCTGTAGCTTGGAATATTTGAAATGGGTCTGCTAGAAGCATATTTTTTAATTTGACAAACTCTAAGAAATTGCAATGATGAAAGTATCCATTTCCCTGCATCTCTGTAAACATCAATTTTATCAAACTTTAAAATTTTTGTGATAGAAAAAAAGGAATAACTTATTTTATAAGTCTTATCATTGATGTTTTGCATCTTTTCTTATGTCTGTTGACTATATTTCTTCTTGACCTTTTAAAAATTGATTTGTGGTGGTTTGTGTTTTTTTTTAATAGACAGTAACCTTTTGTCTATTGTGTGTATCACATAATTTTTTCCAGGATGTCAATTTATAGTTTATTTATGGTTTGCGCTTTATAGAACTTTAAAATCTCTGAATAACCACAACTATCCATTTTCTGTTTTCTGTGTTGCATAGAAAGTTTCCTTACATTAAAAAACATTAAAATATTCTCCATACTTTAGTAATTCCTGTTGTAGATAGCGATCATTAATGTTTCTTGCATTGATTTGGTACTGAGGTGACATCTAGGATTCTTTTTTCTCATCCCAGCACAATATCACCTAATCTTTTTGCTGCCATTTGAAATGTCTGCTCTTATCACTTACTAGTTGATTCTGATAGGCACTTGAGACTGTCTCAGAGTCTCTCTTGAATTGATCTATTTGTTTCTGAGCCAGAACAACACGGTTTTGTTCCTCTTCCTTTATTTTACGGTTTGTCATGTTTTCTTAGACAGGGATAACTGTGCTCAGGAGGCCTCTCTTCCCCAGGCACCTATCATAGCCCTTTGGATTTGCTTCTGATTTATTAAACAAGGGTTTACTCTTTACAGGATTGCTTCTGCAATCCGGGATTCTTGGGTAGCTCTACTTAATGGTGTGGGCAAGTCTCTTAACGCTTCCGGGCCACAGCCTCAGCACCCATTAGTGGAGGTGGTCACACTGGCCTCCGAGGGTCACAGATATGAGAGTCAGTGCGTGCAGACTACTTAGAATTGCCGACAGAAGTAGCAGCTATGTGTTTGTTATTGCTGCTGCTGTTCTAATTCTTCCATTTTAGTCAAGTTTTCTAGTTTTTCTTCCCTATGAGTCTTCTTGAGGTTCTTTCATATGGATTTTAAAGTGTCTACTTTTTCTCTTGCAGTAGAAAAGCGTTGATAGTGTTTGCTGACCTGTCACTGCTGGTTTCCAGAGAGCTGTTTGACTCCTGATTCACAGCACGCATGTGTCCAGCCACCACCCCCTCTTTCTTTTTCCTCTGTGTTCTAGGGGAATTCTGTGACTGAGTTTTCAACATGACCATCTTAAGCTGTGTACATTTTTCTTACTTAGCCTTTTTTGAAGTTTTAAAGTAGGAAAACGTTGTTTTTCCCCCAGGGTTTCTGATTGCTCCGTGTCATTGCAGCTTGCTCTAATTATATGAATGCAGTACATTCTCAGAGTTCTCTGAAGATAGTAGTGGGCATTTTCACTTGATACACTCTTTCATCTCTTATATTAGCTCTGTTTCCGAAGAGGATTTTTTGTCTCATTCATCTTGCTGTTTCTGTTTCATTCTATTTGTGCCTTAAATATTCATATTTTAGGCCGGCGCCGCGGCTCACTAGGCTAATCCTCCGCCTTGCGGCGCCAGCACACCAGGTTCTAGTTCTGGTCGGGGCGCCGGATTCTGTCGCTGCTGCCCCTCTTCCAGGCCAGCTCTCTGCTGTGGCCCGGGAGTGCAGTGGAGGATGGCCCAGGTGCTTGGGCCCTGCACCCCATGGGAGACCAGGAAAAGCACCTGGCTCCTGGCTCCTGCCATCGGATCAGCGTGGTGTGCCGGCCGCAGCGTGCCGGCCGCGGCGGCCATTGGAAGGTGAACCAATGGCAAAGGAAGACCTTTCTCTCTCTCTCTCTCTCTCACTGTCCACTCTGCCTGTCAAAAAAAAAAAATTTTCATATTTTAAATTAGTTACTAGATTATTTGCATCAACATTTGTGGTCGAGGTTCTTGTTGATTGTTATAGTTAGACCTCTCCCTGGCTTAGCATCCCAGCACAAGCTTCTGTTGTGACTAGGAGATTTGGAGAAAAGTGGGGAATCCTTTCCCTTGACCCCACTGGGGGAGGGAGCCGCAGTGAAGGCAGTGAGAAACCTTCCCCCAACCACCCTTTTTATGATCTGTGGATCTGAGTTCCTTTGAACTCTGTCTTGTTTCTCTTTGCAATCCCCCAGTCCTTGTTGGAAGGCCCCAGCATCTTGTAGAGCCCTTTATAAAAGTCAGACATCCAGCCTTTTCAATGGAACTTTGGCCATCTTCTACTGCTTTCCCAGGCCACAGCAGAGAGTTGCATTGGAAGTGGAGCAGCCGGGACTAGAACCAGCACCCATATGGGATGCCAGCGTTGCAGACTGGTTCTTTAACCCACTGTGCCACAGCGCTGATCCCAAAATAGGTATTTTCTTACCTCTTGTGTTAACCTAATGTAAACTCTGTGAGGATAAGAATGGTAAGAATGTCATCTGTACTATTGCCACTGTATTCTCTGCACAATGCCTAGAACACAGTATGTATACCATAAATATTTAGTGGATTGGAAAAATTTTTCTGGAACTAAAAGTATTTTTTATCCAGTAGTTTTTCTTCTAGAAATGTATTCTAAGGAAATAGTCACAGATGCTCGCAAAATTTTATATACAAGGATGTTCACATTGTTTATAATTGTGAAAAATGGAAACAATTCAAAAGTCCAGTAATGGTTGTCTAAAGTATATGTCATATGTAAGTTGAATATGTAATAAAAAGATGTTTCTATTCATTTGTACTTCCAGAGGCTCACTCTCCAGGGATCAGTAAAACCCATTTTATCTTAACCTTAAATAGGATGACTGTAAATTATGCCTTTTAAATTTACTGTAATTTTTAGTAGTATTATTTAATCCTTTTTATTTTTATACTTATACTCAAGTAGTTTAAGGGAATCAAATTTTATAAAATCAAAGAATAAATTAAACTTACTGTTAGGTAATTATCGTGTAATGGACATTCAGTAAATAGGTAATTTTCTGTTTTTTGTTTAATTCCAGAAAACAGCTCCTTGAGCATGGTGAGGTAAAGCTTTCATTTTAATCTCGAGTCGACGTGTGTATTAAATTCTAGTTAAGGGTAATTCACAGAGGGATGGCCTTGCTGCCGAGGCAGGTGGTGCTTGAATGCTCAGCACTGGTGATGAATTTCTGCTGATCTTTCCCATTCCTTAATTTGCTCTCACTTTGGAGTAGTAATAGGATCTGAAGGCCAGTGGGTTGATTGATGACCATGGACCATAATGAATTGCATTCATTCATTCATTCTCTCATTCCACAGTGAGGAGCGTTTTGTTTCCAGCCTGCCTGCTGAGCTAGTCAGCTAGAGCCCATCAGGGCAGCCCCCCCGGCCTGTGACTGGAGGCCTTCTGCCACCGTGTAGGCTCCATGGCCAGCTGGCTACAAACTCAGCCGCGTTACAGGATGTATAAGGTCGTATAGTAATACTCCTGCCCTGAAGTGTTTGCCATTTTACAAAGGAGATGTTAGCAAAGCCACATTCAAGTAGTGCTAAATTATTTTGTGGCATAGAAAGGGAAAGTGGGCAGTATAGACTGAGAAGATGATTTCCTAAATTAAATGACTTTAAGTTGTCTTTTTTTAACATTATATTCCAAAATAGTTTTAAATTTTCTAAGTAAAAATTGTGAAGTAGTAGTACGAGGAGTCCCTATATACCCTACAGCCACTCTGTTACTAACATCATATTAGTCTAATTGTCACAGTTAATAAACCACACCCAGCTTCCCCTAAGTTTTTTTTTTAATCTTTCCCACTCCTCCTGGACTCTAGTAATTACATTCTGTGTTCATATTGAGGCTATTTTTTTTCAAGCTCCCATATAAGAGGGAGAGCATGCAGTATTTGTCTTTCTGTATCTGGTTTGTTAAGGGAAATACTAAATGTATAAGAGAAGGCAACTGAATTTAAATCTTATAGGAATATCTTATAATACGTTTTTGTGAGTAGTTGCTACATGCCTCGCACTGTGCTGTTTAATTCTCATAATATTCCCATTTTGTAAAGAGGGAAATTACATTAATTACATTAAATACCAACATTGCAATGACTTAACTCAGTAGGAGTCAATCCTTTGCATACATAAAGTTACAACCAGGAGTTCCTGATTAGCAGGTGGCTGTGTGACCATCCTGATTGAGGGACCCAGATGCCTTCTCTCCCTGGCTCTGCCATCGTCAACACATGGTTCCCAGGGCTGCGCTGCTTGCCTGTGTCAAGCCTGCAGAGAGGGAACGTGACCTTGTCCACAGGGAGGTCTGTACGGCGAGGCCTGGGAGAGGTGCAATCCCTGCCCGCCCTCAGCCTGCACTCTGGGCCCGGGCATGCAGCTGGCAGGAAGGCTGGAAGCTGGTCCAGCTGTGTGTCTAAGAAGAAAAGAAAAGGGGGCTCTGCCTGGAACTGAGGGACTCAGGGAAACTGAGCAGCGTTTGGAGATTCCACAGCTAACTTACTACAGAGAGAGCCTCCATTCATGGGGTGACTCCCCAGCTAACCACAACGACCCACACTAGGCCAAGGCGGAAGCCAGGAGCCAGTCCCAACACAAATTTGCCACATGGCTGTCAGAAACATAGTTTCTTGAGCCATCCCCACTGCCTCCAAGTCCGCATCTGCAGAAAGCTGGAGTCAGCACCCAGAGCCAGTCATCCAACAGGCAGTCTGATGCAGGATGTGGACACCCTGTCATTTTAACCACTAGGCAAAACCACTGCCCCTCTATCAGTTTTACATGCATACCAATTTAGTCTTTATTATGTGCTTCATGTATACCAAGTCCCCACTTTAAGCAATTTACAGTGTCGGGGAAGGTAATTATATATGCAGTGATAAAGTCAACACAAAGGTGGTACAGAAGAAGAAATGATTATATGGAAGAGGTGGTATGGATAGGAAAGATTTTTTGAAGTAACTTTCCAAGAAAAATAAGCATAGCATTTACGAAAGTCAGAAGAAGCTGTACATGTGCAAAGAAAGCATAAGGTTGCATGTTATGTTCAGAGTACAGTCGAATCAGTATTGCTGATGCAAAAAAAGGTAAAAAGTAGCAAGAAGAGGGCCTGGAAAAGTAGGCAGGGCTCAGACTATGGAGGCCTTGTACACAAGGAGTCTGGACTCCATTCTGGACTTTCTGGTTAACCAGGAGGTGACACAGGCGGCCTGAGTTGTGAATATGTGCTCTAGGTCTGTGGAGGGAAGCCCAGCTGGCTTTTTACAATGACACAATGGCAGGGAAGCCCACTGGCAGGAAGTCAGTGCTGACAACCCGTTAGTCTTCAAATGCCTGGTGTGTAGGCAGGTGAGAGGTTTACCTTTTTAAAGAGAGCAGATTTTTCTGGAAGGGATGGCACATTTTGAGGGTCCATGAGGAGTTTTCTGTCCGTGGGATGTGAGGCCGACTTTTCACCCCTCTGCGACCCAGGACTCCCTTGGTGAATGTCTCCCTACTATTTGAGGACAGGGACTGTTGTCACTTTAGAGATGAAAGGCTGCAGAGGCCTAAGACCTGGGTGGAGGCCGGGGCACTGCTCACTGAATATGTGATGAAAACTAAGGAATACATCTTCCCCAGTGTTTCAGCTAGGTGAGGATTTGTTAGGGTAATTCTTCACCGGTGCTCTGAATCACTAATAGGCTGTGTCCCTCAGCTCACTAAACAGACCCTGAGTTACCTCCCTATTGTTGTGATACTGGTGGTTCCTTAGCTGAAAGGATCTTGTTACTATTTTTTTCTCCTGTAGAGTGTATTTGCCTATATTTTATCAAATTAGTACCTTTAATTTTTTTAAATTTTCATTTTATTTGAAAGATAAACGGAGACAGAGACGGATTGATCTTCCAGCTGCTGTTTTACTCTCTAAATGCCCCCAGCAAGGCTGAAGCCAGGAGCTGGGAACTTAGTCTGGGTCACCTATGTAGGTGGTAGGGGCCCAAGTACTTGAGCCATCACAGCTGCTGGAATGGAAAGAGGAGGGGAGACTCAACTCAGGCACTCTGATATGGAATGTCTGTGGATCTGTAGAAGAGATGCCTGTTGTGGATAGGTGATTAAAATCGACGGCTTCTGCAATCTACCAATCTGTGCTTTAGTGGTTTGAAACAAAAGGACTTATTTAGAAATGAAATGAGGTTGGTGTTTCTCATTCTCTCCACAACGTGTCCACAATTAATCATGCCCAAAGATGAGTTTGGTTAAAGAAAAATAAAGAATTGATTTTGAAATTAAGTTTCCCCCATTCCAACATTGTGTCCAATAAATATGAAAAAGAATTTAAACATTTTGGGTCCAGCTTTTGCCATTCTATTTTAAATATAAACTATGTATTTCTGAGTAAAATATAACATTTGAAAATTGCAAGGCCGGCACCGTGGCTCAATAGGCTAATCCTCCACCTTGCGGCGCCGGCACACCGGGTTCTAGTCCCGGTCGGGGCGCCGGATTCTGTCCCGGTTGCCCCTCTTCCAGGCCAGCTCTCTGCTATGGCCAGGGAGTGCAGTGGAGGATGGCCCAGGTGCTTGGGCCCTGCACCCCATGGGAGACCAGGAAAAGCACCTGGATCCTGGCTCCTGCCATCGGATCAGCGCGGTGCGCCGGCTGCAGCGGCGGCCATTGGAGGGTGAACCAACGGCAAAGGAAGACCTTTCTCTCTCTGTCTCTCTCTCTCACTGTCCACTCTGCCTGTCAAAAAAAAAAAAAAAAAAATAAAAAAAAAAAAAAAGAATCAGGTCCTCTAACAGGAGTATGGAGAAATAACGGACTGCTAGTAGGAAGTGAAGGTGGCTCTACAGATTATAGAACAGCAGATACGAGGAAAAGCCATCATCCTCGGGCCAAGATATGGCATCCAACAAGAAGCTTGCAACCACCCTCCCTTACCAGAATCAAAAAAAAAAAAAAAAAAGAAAATTGCAAAAAGACAGAAAAATTAATACTCTAAAGTACCTGCTGTTAACTTTTTTTTTTGAAAAGCATTTTATTTTTTAAAATGCTTTTTTTTTTATCTTTTATTTAATGAATATAAATTTCCAAAGTACGACTCATGGGTTACAATGGCTTTCCCCCCCATACCGTCCCTCCCACCCACAACCCTCCCCTTTCCCACTCCCTCTCCCCTTCCATTCACATCAAGATTCATTTTCGATTATCTTAATATACAGAAGATCAGCTTAGTATACCTTAAGTAAGGATTTCATGCTGTTAACTTTTGGTTGTTTTCTTACAGTACCCTCCTCCCCACCAGCTCTGGACATGTACATATATGTGCATAGACTTTTTTTCTAATTTATATTTATTTGAAAAGCAGAGTGACAGGGAGAGACAGAGAAAGGGAGAGATCTTCCATCCACTGGTTCAATCGCCAAATGGCCACAACGGCCATGCTGAGGCCAGGAGCCTAGAACTCCATCCAGGTCTCTCCCTCGTTGGGGGCAGGGGCCCAAGTACTGGACCACGTACTGTTGCTTTCCCAGGTGCATTAGCAGGGAGATTAAACAGAAGCACAACAGCTGGGACTCTAGCCAAACTGACCCTCCAGTGTGGGAGGCCAGTGTTGAAAGAGGTGGCTTAGTCTGTCAGCCTCACGTAGACGTTTTTCATAGAATTATTAGGATTCTGTGTGTACAGTCTTACACCCTGAAAGCTCTTCCATGCCATTACATATCACGTTTAATGACTGTGTACTTGGGGAACAGTAGTGATTTAGTTGCTAATTCCACTTTATTGACCACTTAGGTTGTTTCGTACATTCAGTCATCATCTTTGCATTTTTGTTATTCCCTTAATTCCTGGAATGGAAATTAAGGCAATGGTATTGGCACTTTTTTAGGCCCTCGATAAACATTTTTTAAAATATTTATTTATTTATTTGAAAGAGTTACACAGAGAGAGAAGGAGAGGCAGAGAGAGAGAGAGCTGCCATCTGCTGGTTTACTCCCCAATTGGCTGCAACAGCTGGAACTGTGCTGATCCAAAGCCAGGAGCCTGGAGCTTTCTCCTGGCCTCCCACATGGGTGCGGGGGCCTAAGCACCTGGGCCATCTTCTACTGCTTTCCCAGGCCACAGCAGAGAGCTGGATCGAATGTGGAGCAGCCAGGACTCCAACTAGTGCTCATATGGGATGCCAGCACTGCAGATGGCAGCTTTACCCGCTATGCCACAGCACTGGCCCCAATAAACATTTTTTTAAATTAAAAAAATGTATTGATTTTTTTATTAAAGATTTATTTTATTAATTTGAAAGAGTTACTGAGAGAGGTAGAGAAAGAGAGAGATCTTCCATCCACTGGTTCACTCTCCAGATGGCCACAATGGCCAGAGCTGCGCCAATCCAAAGCCAGGAGCCAGGAGCTTCTTCTGGTCTCCCATGTGGGTGCAAGGGCCCAAGCACTTGGGCCATCTTCCACTGCTTTCCCAGGTCATAGCAGAGAGCTGAATCAGAAGAGGAGCAGCCGGTACTAGAACCGGCACCCATATGGGATGCTGGCACTGCAGGCCAAGGCTTTAACCCGCTGCGCCACAACGCCAGCCCCCTGTATTGAGCTATTCTTTCAGTGTTTGTTTCATTGCATTCTAACAATCTATTAATATCAGTTTGGTAGATGAAATCTCATTATCTTTGACATTTCTTTGAATGTAAGTGAATTAGAACATATATACTTGTCATATGCTTTTTGTTGCATTATTTGCCCATTTTCATATCCGTGTTCTAGTGAGAAGTTGACATTTTATATATTTCTGTTATAAAAGTTTTGCTTGACTTGCTCATTGGAGACCCACCTTGATCAAAGTAGGGTATCCTATTAATTAGTACAAAGACTTAATACTACTACTACTTTAAAAATGATATAGTTTATGTTGTGCTGTGGTTTCTCTTGTTGACTGAATGGCACACACACTTGGGAAAAGCATCCCATGTGTCTCTGTGTCCATTGCTCTCCTCTCACTTTGCACAAATCCTTGTACATAACACCTGCTCTTCCCAGCTGCGGTGGCATCCCATATCCTGCACCCTTTGGCTTCTTTTCCTGCCCCATTTTCCTGCCCATTGTACTTTCATGGATTGATTTATTTGTGATGTATATTTACCATCTGACTCTCTTTATCAAATAAACTGAAGTGCCAGCCTCACAAGGGAAGATAGCAGCGACTGTTGTATCCTCAACACACAGAGCCTGGCATCTATGAGTTTCATGCATTTGTGAAATCTTTGCTGAATGAATGAATAAGTAGTAATAGATTTGTCATGAAGTTAGAAGATCTGTGTCTGAATGAATAATAGTTTAAAGGTGCTTTGTTTATTAATTTTAAAACATAGAAAGCAAAAATGTCATTTTGTTTTATTTGTGTTTTTATAGCTGATTTTTCATGCACTGCAGTTGTTGGCATTTACTGGCCTTGCCATTTTAATTATGAGGCTGAAGCTGTTTTTGACACCACACATGTGTATTATGGCTTCCTTGCTCTGCTCACGACGGGTAAGGGATTAATTTTTGGATAGTGCACTATAATAACTGGAGCAGCTACAGATACCATGGCTTTGCTGAATGATCTGAAACATAAAAACACCAAGTGTTGTATCTAACTTAAAGGATGTAGAGTATTAGTTCATGACTCACTGTAGAGTAAGAAAAACTTCAAGTATCAGAAAATTACTCCTAGACTTTAACTGATAATTCCATGACAAGTGGGATGAGGCTCTCTCTTTCCCCTTAGTTGGTATCTTATTCACAATCTTTCGGAGTTTGGGTTTGTAAAAGTTTTCTGGCCCATCGCATCTACCCCAAAGTACTTATCAAAAACTGATTGCATGCAAAATAATTGCTCTAGTACATTCCTGTTTGGATTAGAGAATCCCCAAGAAAATCTGTCCGTTCTGGAGTTTCCTAATTGTATCTAACATTAAAGTAGCAAGATAAAATACCTAGCATGTTGGGATAAAGGCCCGTGTAGAAACACCTTATTTAGTTTTGAGTGTGAGTGTACTGCTTTACAATACCATAATGTCTGTTTATCTAAGAAGAGGGTTATGTGTCAATGCTAATGGGCTTTCCTAGTGATTCGAGATTTTCATGAAAGACAGCCAGATATTAAGGGACTTCATTCTAAGATGTTTCAAAATTCTTTCACTAACCTTGATTCCTGGCAGTAAATCAATACTACGATCAAATATTCTCTCCCAAATTCTTTCAAGAGGAAAGTTCGATTTTCAACCAGGCCCTGAAATTCCAACATATTTGTTGTTTTTAAACAACAGATAGGAGTTCTGTGTATTTGTGTACTGATAACAAAGGGCAATCATTTTGGTTTAAACTGTAAAATGAGAATTTTTTGACTCTATAGGTGCAAATTTATTATTGACTCAATTTTTTTATTGACTCAATTTTATGATTTTATATAAGAATTATAAATAAGTGGTTTCTTTCATTTCAGCTCTTTGGCTGGCTTTTTTGCAGAATTCGTTTTGAGAATGTTATCTTTGGCATTTTAACAGTGATGTCATTACAAGGTTGTGCAAACCTCCATAATCAATGGAGCATAATAGGAGAATTTAATAATTTGCCTCAGGAAGAACTTATTCACTGGATCAGATACAATACCAGACCAGGTATGTGGCTATTTGATTATACGTATGTTTAGTTTTATACACACACACATACACACACATTATGTAGCTGTATAATTATTTCATATATTTTATGTACATTTATGAGAAGACTTTGAAAAGTTCATGGAAATAGAATTAAAAGATAAAAGTAAAAATGCAAACTATTTCTCAGCATAAGTTACATCAAGTTCAAGATGTTTTTGTAAGTGATGATATGTGTCTTTTATTTTTTGAGCACCTTAATGATAAACAATTTTTATTTTTTATTTAAATATTTTCCCCCAGCAACATTTTATTTAAGGCATAAAAACTACATGCATTTCATAAATACAACTTTAGGAACACAGTGATTCTTCCTACCCTACCCATCTTCCCATTCGTATTCCCACCCTTCTTGCTCCTCCCTCTCCTATTCACATTTTTTTAGTTTTTACTAAGATCTATTTTCAATTAACTTTATACACATAAGATTATACTAAGTAAAGAGTTCAACAAATGGTATGGGGAAAAAAAAAAAAACCCGTTCCTCAACAGTTGAGACTGTTAGGGTCCGAAAACGCCCACCGCCCAAAGAACGACTCCAAGAGACTTTTCTCTCATGCAACCAGCAAAGGGTTAAAGATTTATTGATCCAACATGTTGGGGCTCTCTGAACATACAAGAACAGAGGAGCAGCGAGGAACTACAGCATAGGGTTTATAAAGGCAAAAACCGCAAAATCGGGAGGGGGGAAGAGAATACACAGTTGCTAAGCGGTTGCTAAAATCTTACAATCAGCAATTATGATCTTAAGACATAGACAAATTACATCTTCATTATTAGCCCAGGTAACCCAGGTGCAACCTTTCTACTTTTAAGCTTGAGCAGTCATGCTAGGGGGTTTTTGTGCTCTGCCAAGGGTGATGTAGTGCACTGCTATTGTCCGACTATTTGAGATCATAGTTTCAGACCAGAATCTCACGGTGGGGGGGGTGCTTTTCCAGAATGGAGTCTCAAGTGCTCCAAAATGAGTCCCTACTGTCAAGGTGCTACTTCACTCTGTCTTATTTTCACAGCTGTACCAGGAAGGTTTAAACCTGTAAGCTTAAGCTTAACTTTTTACACCCACACATATACAATTTTAACTCTTCAAGACAAGAGCTGTTCAAAGTTATCATATCTCAAAGTGTCAATTTTACTTCTGTAGATTACCTTTTAGGTGCTCTATTAGTTACCACAGATCGGGGAGAACATATGGTATTTGTCCTTTGGGACTGGCTTATTTCACGAAGTATGATGATTTCCAGTTGCATCCATGTTGTTGAAAATGACAGGATTTCCTCCCTCCCTCCCTCCCTCCCTTCCTTCCTTCCCTCTCTCTTTTCCTCCCTCTTTCCCTCCCTCCCTCCCTTACTACAAGATAAACTAAGCATCCTGGGAATTGAACCATATCAAAGCAGTCTACTTTACATAATTAATTTAAGGAAACAAACAGAAATCAGAAGGAGCCAAATCAGGATTCACACCTTCACAGAGCTGCCCCTGTTTCGTGAGAGGAGTGGGCGCTGACGTCCTGGTGGTGAAGAACTCCCCAGGGAAGCTCTTCCTGGGGCTTTCTTGACCAGTGTGCTTTCACACAGGACCACCGTGGCTCTACCACGCTTCATCTCCTGTCCTAATTCATTTAAGAAATGCCTCCGCATCTTGTTTCCAGCTGCTTGAACTTACTGTGTACACTTGAGAGCTCTGCTCGAGTCAGCAGCTGATTTGGGTGCAGCAGCCTTGTCACCCATCAAGCAGAATGCTAATTCCACTTTAATTTTTCAGTCAGAATTGTGTAAGCGGAACCATCTGAGATGTCTGTGGCATTAAATTTTGTTTCTTCTGTTAATTGTCAGTCTTCTTCAATCAGAGCACAAAGAAGATCAATTTTTTTCTCACCAGTTAATGTGTATGGTCTGTTGTTGCAGGCTTCGTTTTCAGCAAACTGCTGATTTCTTTGGGGCATTTGATCCTGGAAATGACCTGTCAAGTCTTCACCAAGAATTCATGTTGCTCTGATAGAAGATCTTTTCAAACTGATATATTGTACTTTTTTTAAAAAGATTCTATTTATTTATTTGAGAGGCAGAGGTAGAGAGAGAGGGAGACAGAGAGAAAGGTCTTCCTTCTGCTGGTTCACTCCCCAAATGGCTGCAACAGCTGGAGCTGGGCCAATCTGAAGCCAGGAGCCAGGAGCTTCTTCCAGGTCTCCCATGCGGGTGCAGAGGCCCAAGCACTTGGGCCATCTTCCACAGCTTTCCCAGGCCATAGCAGAGAGCTGGATCAGAGGTGGAGTAGTTGGGACACAAACCGGCACCCATATGGGATGCCAGCAGCTTAGGTGGAGGCTTAGCCTACTGTGCCACAGCCCCGACCCCTATCTTGTCCTCCTTTTTTTTTTTTTTTCTTTTTGACAGGCAGAGTTAGTGAGAGAGAGAGAGACAAAGGTCTTCCTTCCGTTGGTTCACCCCCCAAAATGGCCGCCACGGCCAGCACACTGCACCGATCCGAAGGCAGGAGCCAGGTGCTTCCCCCTGGTCTACCATTCGGGTGCAGGGCCTGAGTACTTGGGCCATCCTCCACTGCCTTCCTGAGCCACAGCAGAGTGCTGGACTGGAAGAGGAGCAACTGGGACAGAATCCAGCACCTGGACTGGAACTAGAACCCAGAGTACCGGCACCACAGGCGGAGGATTAGCCTAGTGAGCCAAGGCACCGGCCTATCTTGTCCTTCTTAAGTGGCACAAACCAGATCATTCCTTCCTGTTCAGATGTTATGACAAATTAGTACAAGTTTATTTGGTGCAAAAAACTTTTGAAAATCATGCATTTCAAAATACTCATTTTCTGTGAATGTTTTAAATACCTCTCTCTGAGCATTGTCTTCTGTGAGGTTGTTATTAATGAATATAAAGCCTAATTTTAAATACCCCCAAAATTCTTTTAGCTCAATTTTAAAAAATTATATATTTATTTTAAAGGTGGAGATACAGAGAGGCAGGGAGGGGATAAGGGGGGCTTCCATCCGCTGGTTCACTCCCCAGATGGCCACAATGGCAGGAGCTGCACAGATCCAAAGCCAGGAGCCAGGAGCTTCCTCTGGGTATCCCACACAGGTGCAGAGTCCCAAGGACTTGGGCCATCTTCTACTGCTCTCCCAAGCTATAGCAGAGAGCTGGATTGGAAGTGGAGCAGCCAGGACTTGAACCGGCACCCATGTGGGATGTTGGCACTGCAGGCAGTGGCCCCACCTGCTACGCCTCGGTGCCAGCCCCTCAACTTTTTCATATCTTTATCCAAAACTCCTTCAAGCAGGGGTGGGCATTCGGCTCGTGGTTAGGATGCTAGTTAGGATTTCCATGTTTTACGTTGGAGTGCCTGGGTTTAACTCCTGGCTCTGGCTCCTGACACCAGCTTCCTGATAATGCAGACTCTGGGAGGCAGCGGTGGAACTGAACTGGTTGGGTCCCTGCCACCTGCATAGGAAACTGAGATTCAGGTCCCAGCTTCCCACTGCTGCAGACATTCAGGAAGGGAACCAGCGGATGGGGAGCACGCTCTCGCCCTCTCTTTGCCTCTCAAAAGAATAAAGATATATATTTTAAAAACCCTTTAAAATCTTTTTCCAGAGAATAAGCATATTCTACAATATTAACTGAATCTAAATTTATAATCTTAGACTACTTTTGAAATTTACTTTTCTTTGGCATCGATTCTTCACTGTGATTTTCTTATTTTTTTTTTTTTTTATGTAACGCTTTGAGTTAGATTCCTCTTATATATCTTTTGCTAGCCACCGTTTTCGTAGCTCACCATCTTTAAGGTAAATGTTAAATGCTTCAGATCAGGCCTATGATGTGGGGCGTGACTCCCCACTGGGAGCTGCCAAGCAGGTCTCCAGTCCTCACTGAGGTTTCCTGCAGGCACACAGGCATACAGGTTGTTTGCTCCTCCCCAGGTACAGCTGTTTCCGGAGCATTTCAAGACACCTACTCTTTGATCCTTTTCTTGGGTCTTGTCTTTATTTTATTTCAGGGTTTGTCTCGGGTTTCTAGGAGAGCCTATGTTTGGCAGCTCACCCAAGATAGCTCCCACAGAGCCCATCTCAGTTTTAGCTGTCTCTTAGATTTTCTTAAATAATTTATTTTATTATTGTGAGTTCTCTCATGATTTTCTCATGTTTATTAAAAGCTGCTTAAAGTTCCATAATATGAGTGGAACCATTGCTATGTTCAGGTCTATGCTGTAAGGTTGTATAGTTTGTACATTGTATAAAAGTGACTAGTTAAGAGGACACGTGGGACTGAAATCCAACCTTCAGTCCACTAATTAAGCCGTGCACTAGTGGGGCTCTGCCCAGTCAGAGAAGATAACTTTCTCCAATCCGTGCGGTAGCCACGTGAGGACTTCAGTATATTAGTAGGACAGTGTCTTGCTCTTCCCTGTTGTGATCATATTTATCTCAGATCCAAAGAGAAGGAAGGTGTGTGGGTGGCAGGAGTGCATCCGCCCTCCCCCAGCTCTGTGTCTGTCTGTCTCTTCTGTAGATGGATCTCTGGGGTTCTAGCTCTGGCTCAGCTGGTATAATTAATTTTCTTTTGGATGACATTGGCCCTGAGCTTTGGGTTCCTCTAGCTCAGGATTTCTCCTCTTCTCTTCTCTGCAGTCCCAGGCAAGTTACTTAACTTTTATGTTTCTGCTTCCTCATCCATAAAACAAGAACAGAGAACTCACCTCATAGAGTTGGACAAATTAAATCATTTAATCACTGTAAAAATACTGAGGACAGTTCCAGTACCTAGTAAAAGTTACCAAAATTTAGCTTTATTGAGGAAGACAATTGGTAAATAAATATTGAGTGAGTGAAAAGAATGATGCCAACAGTAATCATTTAAATATTTCATCTTTCTTAATTTGGGTTCATATGTTACAGATTGTGGAATCTTGTCTTCCAGATGCTGTTTTTGCAGGTGCCATGCCTACAATGGCAAGTGTCAAGCTGTCTACACTTCATCCCATTGTGAACCACCCACATTATGAGGATGCAGACTTGAGGTTGGCAGCCAATTGAGTATTTCAACCACATTCACTAGCTACTTATTCCTGAACTCAGGAATAGCGAAAAGTCACTGCACGTGCGCACACACACACACTCACACACAGGAAGTACCTACATTTTACTGTGTGTGCTTTTGAAAATTTAGAGCATTTTGCTGGCTGATTATGAGAACTCTAATTTCTACCAAAGTCTAAAAGTTTTGTTTTCTTTAAGTGGCTGATTTTAAAAAATCAAGTTGTTCATTCCATTAATGGTCAGTGTAATCTTTCCTTTCACTGGATTTTTGGTCTGTTGTTAGAGGTAAATTTTTGAATTATTTAAAGGTTCACCTCTGGTTGTGGCAAAAGGGAATATCCTATATACTTCAAATCCTAAGTATTATGCAGAGATAGCAATTTGTTCAGAATTTCAGTTTGTTCAGGAATATTCCCACATAAGTTCAGAAAACCTGTTCCACCATATTTTAGTGAATGTCCATTTCTCAGTTCTGTTAAGGTGATTTTTCAGTCTGCTTTGATATGCTAGATGCCCACTTTTCAAATGTCCTAATTGCTATATTTAGCTTCAATTGATGTGTTTTTTGGAATGTCTATTGATGACGTTATATCCTGAAATCTATGTTTGTACTACATTTAGTCTCTATAGAAACATATGACATTATATAATTATTTTAGGAATTATGTGAAGCAAATTTTATACCCTAAGTCATTGTTTTACTATCCAGTATAGCCATAGACTAGTTTATACATTAATAAGCAGTATCTACAAAAGAAAAATGGCTCTAAGTTTTAGCACTTTCAAAATATAAATAGGAATATGGAAACTGCTGTTCCCAGAACAACATTATATCATTTTGGGATACACACACACACACACACACACACACTCACACTCAATTCAGTAAGAGGGGTAAGGTCTTGATTTATTAGCAGTATTTTCTTAGTCTTTCTATTAGTATTTACTTTAAAATGTTTTAACCTCTTGTTAAAATTTAAAGGGCTCGGACAAAAATAGTTTATTCTGCATACAGTCGAAAGTCTGCAAAAGAAGTGAGAGATAAATTGTTGGAGTTACATGTAAATTATTACATTTTAGAAGAGGCCTGGTGTGTTGTAAGAACTAAGTGAGTATTGACTCCATGATTTATGATATGGTATATTTTTAAACAAAAAATGTTTTACTTTGTTACAGTAGTTCTGGTTCCTTAAGAACTTAAAAAAATAAATTCCATTAAAATATTACAGTGGTGTTTTAGTTAAAATTATTTCACCTAGGAAGGTAAAATTATACTTTAAATAAAATCTAATTACAAAAATTATGCTATATTTTAGTATCCCAATTTTCCATTTAAATTTAACATCTTAAACTTAGCTTGTTAATGTGAAATTTTTATGAAAATTTTTATTAGATGTTTGACTTACAGATTTGAATTTATAACAAGATCAGATGCTAGCATTTTGCTACTACAGCTGAATTATATTTGGATTTGTAAGAACTAAAGAAAAATATCACATACCTCAAAATGACATGAGAAACATTTCTAATTAAAAGGTTTAAGTTTCTGAACTTCATATCTCTAAAAATAATAAAATTCCAAGATATTCAGTGAAATCTCTTAAAGCCTTTGTTTAGATGTCTAAGCAGAAACATCAGGTACAACACATGACGGATTCCAGAGACATTAACTGCCTATTAAAAGAGTAGCAACAGGCCGGTGCCTCGGCTCGCTAGGCTAATCCTCCACCTGCAGCACCGGCATCCCGGGTTCTAGTCCCGGTCAGGGCGCAGGATTCTGTCCCAGTTTCTCTTCTTCCAGTCCAGCTCTCTGCTGTGGCCCGGGAAGGCAGTGGAGGATGGCCCAAGTCCTTGGGCCCTGCACCTGCATGGGAGACCAGGAGGAAGCAGATCCTGGCTTCGGATCGGTGCAGTGTGTCGGCCGTAGTGGCCATTTGGGGGTGAACCAATGGAAAAGGAAGACCTTTCTCTCTGTCTCTCTCTCTCTAACTCTGCCTGTCTGCTGTTAAAAAAAAAAAAAAAAAAAAGTAACAACAACAAATTGACAATCACAAGAACCAGATTCCGGATTTTCTATAATGTATTGTCTACCATGTCCAGTTTTCAACAAAAAATTAGACATGCAAACAAATGGGGAAGTGAGACCAATACTTGAAAAGAAGAACTTAGTCGATACTGATTGAAGTTGGCTGAAATGCTAGATTTAGCAGCCAAAGACTGCAGTGTCACTCTTAAGAGTATATTCAAAGCCTTTTCTGGGGTAAAAATAAACATACGACATGGTAAAAGTATATGTGTGTGTATATGTATATGTGTGTGTGTGTGTGTGTGTTAAGAAATAAAGAAAACCATGGTATCACTGAGTGAACAGATGTGGAATCTCCACAGAGAAATAGAACCTCCCCCCATTGGAAATTCTAGAGCTGAAAGTATAATAGTGAAATGAAAATCCTTCAAATGTACTCAACAACAGAAGCAGAACAAAAATTAGTTATTTTGAGGGTATACCAAGAAAGAATAGACAACTCAAAGAACAAAGGTAACAGGAAAAATAGTCAAAGCCACAGATACCAATGTAATACTATTAAATAGTTTAAACACAAAGATAAGTTTAATACCAGAAAAAATGAGAAAAAAACACTGAAACGTTGGCCAAAAATTTCTCAAATTTCAAAAAAAAGCCATTAACTTAGATATCCAATCTCAAGAAATCTAATTAGGATAAACCAAAGAAAACCACAGGATACATAATAATAGTCAAAAAGCAAAGATAAACTCTTCAAAGTATCGAGAGAAAAAAATTGTAAACATCTGACTTTTCATCAGAGATATTGGAATTCAACCAACATGTGGATGATAACTCAAAGTGTTGAAGGAAATAATCAAGAATTCTGTGTTACGACAGTAGATGTTCAGTAAATATTAACTGTGGGGCCAGCGCTGTGGCGCAATGGGTTAAAGCCCTGGCCTGAAGCGCCGGCATCCCATATGGGCACCGGTTCTAGTCCTGGCTGCTCCTCTTCCAATCCAGCTCTCTGCTATGGCCTGGGATAACAGTAGAGGATGGCCCAAGTCCTTGGGCTCCTGCACCCATGTGGGAGACCCGGAAAAAGCTCCTGGCTCCTGGCTTCAGATCAGCACACCTCCAGCCGTTGTGGCCATTTGGGGAGTGAACCAGCAGATGGAAGACCTCTCTTTCTGTCTGTATCTCTCTCTCTCTAACTCTGTCTTTCAAATAAATAAAATAAATCTTTAAAAAATATTAACTGTTTTTAGGAAAAAAAAACTAATGAAGAAATAATACCCTGTAAAAATATTAGAAAAAAATAGAGCAAAAAGTATCATTTCCCTGCTTATTTGCTGAGAGCTATATTTCCCTGATAAATGAGAAAATTTCACAAGGAAACTATAGTTTCCCCTTGGAAATATAGATGAAAAAGTCCTTCACAAATATTAGTAAGCTGATCTGAGCAATACTTTAAAAAAAATCTGTCAAGGTCAATTAGGTTTAAAGAATTCAAAAATGGCTTAAATTCACCATATTTATTTTATTTTTTTATTTTTTATTTATTTATGTATTTTTTGACAGGCAGAGTGGACAGTGAGAGAGAGAGAGAGAGAGAAAGATCTTCCTTTTGCTGTTGGTTCACCCTCCAATGGCTGCCGCAGCTGGCATGCTGCGGCCAGTGCATCGCGCTGATCTGAAGCCAGGAGCCAGGTGCTTCTCCTGGTCTCCCATGCGGATGCAGGGCCCAAGGACTTGGGCCATACTCCACTGCACTCCCTGGCCATAGCAGAGAGCTGGCCTGGAAGAGGGGCAACCGGGACAGAATCTGGCTCCCCGACCGGGACTAGAACCCCATGTGCCAGCGCCACAAGGTGGAGGATTAGGCTATTGAGCCACGGTGCCGGCCTATTTTTATTATTATTTTTAAAGATTTATTTGAAAGAGTTACACACAGAGAGAAGGAGAGAAAGAGGTCTTCCATCCGCTGGTTCACTCCCCAGTTTGCCACAACGGCCAGAGGTGTGCCAATCTGAAGCCAGGAGCCATAAGCTTCTTCCGGGTCTCCCACATGGGTGCAGGGGCCCAAGCACTTGGACCATCTTTTGCTTTCCCAGGCCATAACAGAGAGCAGTATTGGAAGAGGAGCAGCCGGGACTCAAACTGGTGCCCATATGAGATGCCGGCGCTTCAGGCCAGGGCTTTAACCCGCTGCGCCACAGTGCCGGCCCCCACCATATTAATTTTAAAAAGAAAATCTGTGTAATCGTCTGAATATGTGCAAGAAAAAGTACTTGATAAAATTAAGCACTCCCTCCTGGTAAACTCCCTGCTAATGAGAACTCTATTCAGCATGATTATTTAACATGATAAAGGATGTCTACAAAGCAACCAATAACTAACACCTGCCTAGTGGTGAATGGCTGGATGTTTTCTGAATGATGGGGATCAAAAGGTGAATATCTTTTCACTCTGTAAAACTTTCTAAGGAAGCCATTCAAATGCGGTTAAGTCCAGAAAAAGAAAGTAAAGACACACAGATTGAAAGGGAAGAAGAAAAACTATTTGTAGTTAATATGTTTATATAAGGAAAAAAACATAACATGTTTATTAAAAAGCTGTTAAAACCAATATCACCAAGAAAGGATCAGCATTCAGAAATTACTTCTATTAAAATGGAAAATGAAATTTAAAATCCCATTTATATTAAAATATTAGGAATATTTAGGGGAAATCATAATAACTTTTTTTTTTTTTTTGACAGGCAGAGTGGACAGTGAGAGAGAGAGAGACAGAAAGAAAGGTCTTCCTTTGCCGTTGGTTCACCCTCCAATGGCCGCCGTGGCCGGCGCACCACGCTGATCCGAAGGCAGGAGCCAGGTACTTATCCTGGTCTCCCATGGGGTGCAGGGCCCAAGGACTTGGGCCATCCTCCACTGCACTCCCTGGCCATAGCAGAGAGCTGGCCTGGAAGAGGGGCAACCGGGACAGAATCCGGCGCCCCGACCGGGACTAGAACCCGGGGTGCCGGCGCCACAAGGCGGAGGATTAGCCTAGTGAGCCGTGGCGCCGGCTATAATAACGTTTTTCAAACTAGTTATCGAGAAAAATCTTTAGAAGGATCCAGAAAAAATATACCTAGAATGTAATAAATACAGAATTTCTATCACATTTCTGCCCAGAAACAATGGAAGCAAAAATATAGTGGAGTAACATCTTAAAGTACTAAAAAAAATATATTATCAGCCTGTAATCCCATCCTCATTGCAAATATATCCCAAAATGGAGTTGAAAGAGACTTCCTGCACACAAATTCTGAAAGAATTAATCTTCAGCAGACCTGTACTGCAAGAATTATAAACTAAAGTCCTTTTTGCAAGATGGAAATATGGATGTACACAAAGGAGTCAAAAGCATGCAGAGGATAACTACTTATGTGAATTTTGCATAAAAGATAATTAAATCAGGGAAACACAGCAATGTACTATGTGCAAGTGTCTGGCGTATAACAGATCTTCCTAGGCAAACGAATCAAATTCACAAGCTTTTATTGGGATTCCGCTCCCCGGCGAGGTTCCCCAGTCCCAACAGAGCAGAGGCCAGAGAAGTTGTGCATCAGAGGTTAGGAGGGCTCCTTTTATAGATACAGGGCATGGGGGTTAAAGGTTGAGGCAGGTCTGATCCTCACTGGTTGACCTTTAGGCACCCATGGGGACCTTAACAGGGACTTTTCTTCCCCGGAAGTGCGGGTAGGGACTCTCCATTCCCGGAAGTGTAGGCCTTCTCTCCTTGTGGATCCCAAAGCTACCATCCCAACCTTTTGATGGTAGGAAAGGGGGCGATGATGAGTCTCTCTGGCTACTTCCTGCTGACTGGGGGTGATGAGGTACTCTTCACTGGCATGGGGCGATGTCTCTAGCTGCTGTCTCCTGGGTGGGGAGCCAAATATATCCCTGTAGCAGCATTTGGTTGACCGCCTGGTTGCTGAAGGCCTTGGTTCATGCCATTATCACCTGCTGTAAACACTTAAATGGACACTGTCGTATACGAGTCAGGGTGAGAATAGCAACCATTGATGCTAAGAGTGGCATTAACCAGGTAAT